TTGTCAGATGCAGACGAATTACCAATAACACGGATGGTTGATGTGATACGGGGTAAGTTTATGGAGTTGATTAATTCAAGACGAGCAGATTCCAGTCTGTGGATGACACGAATAACACCATCCATGAAAGAAAAGCTGGAAAGGGAGAACCTAAAAGTCCGTAATCTACAAGTGCTACCGTCAGCTGGAAGCACTTGGAAAGTTCGTGGTGACAAGTGGTTGATATGGATCATTGGGATTGTAGTTGCAAAGGGTGGCAACTTACTGGTTTGCCATGCTGCCATGCTATCGCCGTCATTGCCTGTATGGAACGGAAAGCATTTGATTATTGTTCCAAATATTTCACAACAGAAATGTACAGACTAATTAACATATTCAGAGACAGTAGATCCTGTTCCCGATCTGGACAGGCCTGTACAGGCAGATCCTTCCCAGGTTGCAGTGACTGTAACTCCTCCCACTCATGGTTTTGCAGGCCGACCAAGCGAAAAGAACAATAGCTATCTAGATGCAATACTTTAAGGGTCTCGGTTGCTACAAATCCGCTTGCAAAGAGTCTTTGTAATGTTCAAGATACTGTATGTAGGTCATTCAATTACTTCTTGGCAAATGCATTTCTGAAATATCTGTTGGTCACCACTTCTCCATATACGCTTGCATGCCTAGACACAACAATAATATTAGCAATCAACTTTCGCATTAGTTTATCTAAGCAATGCCTTTCCACTTATCTTGACTAACTGAAGTCACATTCTGGCTCAAAGTCATTCATCAGTTTTCTGGTATGATTTCTCTCTCTTTCTATATATATATATATATAGAGAGAGAGAGAGAGAGAGAGAGAGAGAGAGAGGTGAATGAATCAATCGATAGGTGTGTTTGTGAAAAGTCTATTGGTGTTTTTTTTTTTTTAAAAAAAAAAAAAAAAAACAATTTTAGTCAAAATAAAACATTAAACACTTCCTTTAAAAACGTGTTTCTAATATTTTCAATATTTTTTTTATCCCAAATAAGTTTCTTAAACAATAAACATCTGATCTCAATTTTTTATTTTATTCTGTTCGATTAAACTAAGTTTTAAAAAAACTCGATAAAAGAATATAACAAAGATGGGTTCAAAGTTCAAACCATTTCAACCTGGAATCAGAATTACATCACATTCTGGAAAATTTCCAGAGCTTTGCTCATGAGATTATACATATGATACATTTTATATATATATATATATATATATAATAAGGTCTAAATAAATAACTATCATAATATAACAAGGGCAATTAGGTAATAGAATTAAAAGCTTAAAAATTAACTAAAACACCTCAACCACCTAAGAGATAGTCAGCCACCATTGGACGAAGCCAGCAGTCATTGAAACTACGTATTACCGGATGGATCTGGTCGGTCATGTATCGATATGATATTTTCTGGCCAAATTCAAAGTTGATTTGGCCATCGTTGATGGCCAAAATTTGGCTGGCAACGACAAACAAAATTTGGATAGATCTGGTCATTAATGGTTGGATCCGGCCGAAAAAGATAATATTAACGCATAATCGGCTAGATCCAACTGGCTATGCACCGTTTCGATGACTGCAGGCTGCTGTCCAATGGTGGTGGTTGGCAACTGGCTGTCTCTTGGGTGGTTGGGGTGCTTTAGTTAACTTTTAAACTTTTATTATGGGGGCTGTTTAGCTAAATTAATAAATATAGGGAGTTAAAAAATAATTTAAATATTTTAAGAAAAATTGAGCAAGATAATAGAAAACAAGTCTTTTTTTTTTTTTTTTTTTGTCATTTTAAATAGAAGAAATCTTATTTGAATCGAATTAAGTTTCAAAGTTGATTGGATAACAGTCCTTTCTTCTTTCTTCCAAAAAAAACCCAATACTCCCAAAATTTCCAAACTCGCTTCGGCCTTCCTTTCGTCTTGAAAGAAAACTTCTCTCTAAATACCACTCAAAATCTCCACAGTCCAACCAAGATCACCCCTATAACCTACTCTTTACCCCAGAATCAAACCAAACCCAGAAAAATTCGGAAGAAGCTCCAGAAACTTCAAGAAAAACCCAAAGGGAGCGAAAGAACCAAAAATTGCTCTAAAGATGCGAAGAACACACAAACAAGGAAAAGAAGCAGAGTTTGTAAAGAAACAAAGTTTTTTACCATGATTTACTGAGAAAATCGGCGAAAACGGCACCGTTGCAACGGAGAAAAACTTCGAGCAAGAGAGAAAAAGAAAATGAAGAGAACACGAAGGTGAACAGTCGCCCAAAAGGTGAAAACCTTTTCTACTCACCCAGCCTGTCAGAACTCACACGCGGCAGCGCAGCCAATGGGACATGACCTTTCAACCAAGTTTTGGCAAGTATAAGATGGATAATGGTAAGACTGTACCACAAGTTTCGATATCCTCCAAAGCTTCTAAATCTCCGATGTCATAGGGTAATCTTTCCAATTCGGAGCATTTCCGAAGATTAAGCCTTTTGAGAAGTTTCAACTTAGAGATGCAGCTCGAGAGACTCTCAAGCTATGAACATTCTTCAAGATTCAAGTAAACTAGTTCAGATGGATGTTCGATGAAGGGTGATTCTTTTATTGCAGTTGCCCCTAATTAAATATAATTTTTTCACCATGCATGAGATCTTTGGAGCTATCTTGAGATTACAGCAACCATGGAGTCTAATAGATTTTGACTGAATGCCATCTGGTAGACTAATAAGCCTTGAGCAACTGCTTAGATCCAAGTTGACAAGCTTATTGAGATTTTGAATAGATGAGGGAGTGATCTTCAACAAACTTTTACAATCCCTTGGAATCAATTCCTCAAGATTTGAGGCTTTTGAGAGATTTGGAATCTCTTTCATGTGTTCAGAGTGACTGATATTAACATATTTCAAATTTTCAAGATCCTACAAGAAAGCAAACAAATGACTATCTCAAATTAGTGTCTCGTATATTTATAACTTTCGACAAAAAACCATTGTATAAATACTAAAATACAAACCTGAACACCATTCCAATGTTTAACTTTGTTGAATGTCATATTAAGTCTGACAAGACTCTTTGAAGGAAAATGTTTTGGCACTGACTTAAATGGGTATCCACTCCAGCTGAAGAATTCTAGGCCATTGGAAAAGGACTTACAGTGTTGAAAACCTATCAACTTATTTTCATGATCATCTTGTGATTTGTATACTCTGAAGAAGCTGAAGAATTTTAGGACATTGGAGAAGGATTGACGGTGTTGAAAACCTTTCAACTTATTTTCATGATTATCTTGTGAGTTGTATACTCAGAAGAATCTGAGGTTAGGCATCTTTGACAAAACACGACAATCTAACTTTGCATTGCCCATTTTAGATATATCCAAGCTTATGCTTCGAATTGCTTCAAGCTCCTAATAATAGTCAAATGATAAAAAAGCTTATTAAATTAATTTAAGCTTCATATGTTTTCAGTCAAAGAATAAAATTATTTTTTTATAAACAATTTATATTCTTTAAAAAAATAAATTATAAATAATTTACAAACAAATACAGTACTCTAATAATGAATAAAAACATTGAGATGATTAAAACAGATAATTATTTATGGATTTCAAACATGCAATACTAATTGGTATCTGAAAATATAATAAATATAATTATTAGGTGCGTTTGGCATATTATTTATTTTCATATTCTCAAACCGGTTATTTGAATAGTGTTTGGCTTATTATTCACACAATTCAACTCTGAAAAAAGGATCCTGACATGTTTTTGACCGTTAGACCTTCTCTGTAGCTTTTTTTTGTCTTTCTCATTTTTATTTCATTTTCTCTGTCTTCTTCACTACATCAGTGCTTCACCACGTTTACAAACTTGTTCTTCGTCCATCCAACTTCTTCTCCACCTGCAAATACCAAACATAACGCATCCAACTTCTTCTCCACCTGCACCACCCAAACAATCTTCACCGTGAACCACCCACCGCCAGATCTGTCCCACACTAATCTTCACCGTGAACCACCGACCACCAGATCTGTCCCACAGTAATATCCACCGTGAACCACCAACAGCACCACATCTGTCCCATACTAATATCCACCGTGAACCACCCACAACAGCGAATCTGTTCCATACTACTATTCACTGTGAACCACCCACCACCAAATTTGTCCCACACTAATATCCACCGTGAACCACCCACCACCAGATCTGTCACACATTCATTGTCAACCACCCACCACCGTGAACCACCCCACACCACCAGATCTATCACACATTCATCATCAACCACCCACCACCGTGAACCACCCCATACCACAGATTTGTCCCAAATTGATAAGTTATATATATAATAATGCATTATTTTAACAAAATCCATCAAAATATTATATTAATAAATCATTTATAAAAAAATATATCAATCAAATATTTAACACAAATATCAAAGTAAAAATATTCTACCAAACACATATTTTTTAAATCCTATTCTCGTAATCATAACCCTACTCAACTATCTAGTATTATTTCAAAAATCCTATCAAAATAATAAACCAAATGCACCCAATAATATTAATACAATAATAATCATAATAATTGTGCTTGAAAAGTAAGATTATGTATATATGTAATGAAGATAGAACGTCACTATGCTATATTTCTTTTTGATGTATTTGTGACGTACGCCATAATCGAATCTCTTCACAAGTGTCACCCTGAGCAATTTTCCTACCTATTTCTTGAAGCAAATCATACATTATTGTTTTATTATTGTATGTCACAGACATGGGACATTTATCAATAAGAATTGTCATTGTAGAGATGTTTACCGAATCTTTCGGCACCCCTTCTAAGAAGCATGTAATATCTAAAAATAACTTATTCTCTTAGTTCATCATAACTAACTTTTAGTACCTTTTGAATATATTCAAGAGGATTGTTTTCTAAGTCATTTATTACACTTTCCCAAAAAAAAATTCCCCTAGAAGACAAATGGCAACCCAACACTTTAAGAGCCTATGGAAGACCTTTGGTATATGCCACTGCTTTCTTTGATAGCTCCATATAATCTGCAATAGGAGAGTATTGTCTAAAGGTGTACTGATTAAAAAGTTGATGAGCTTTCTTCTCTCTTAATTCATCAACCTTGTCCATATAAGCATCATCTACTCCACAAATGCTCAACACATGTTTATCCCTTGTTGTTATGATAATTTGACTTTCCAAGCTCAAGTCAAGGTTTCCAATCAAATTTTCTATTTGGATTAAAGATGTCACATGATAAAAAACAATAAGAACATTTAGTGCTTTACAGGTGACTCCTATATTGGGACATGTATCATGTAATAATTTGGAAAGAAGTTCATTTCGCAAATGAGTTAAATTAGTGTTTTTCTCCGACTCTTCCCTAACATTTTCAACAAAATAGGATCTTTCAAACTGGTTCGAGATCTTTTTGAATACAGTATGAGCAATAGTTGTTTTGCTTATACCTCCTATGCCCCAAATTCCTATTTTGGAAACACCATTTGATCCCTTGTGCAACAAAGAGTCTATTTTGTTTATTGAAAATTCTGCTCCAACCATGCCTTCGTCATAATCACTTGGAGACAACTTATTTAGTCTTGGAATAGATTTCTTCATTTAATGAAATATTATCATTTTGAAAGAAATTTTTAATATGATTTTTTGAAAAAAAAAAAAAAAAAAAAACAATCTCATTTTGAATTTAATTAAGCTTGTCATACTTAAATTAATCATAATTTCTAATGTCATAACTCCGATAATTTAAATTATATAATTACATTTAAACGACAGTCAAGATATCGTCGTCAACGATGACCAAGATATGGCCATCGTGAGATCTTCAGATGATGTGTTTTTGTTAATTTTTGAGTTGAATAGAATAAGATTGGATTTTGTAAAGAATTTTGAATATTAAAAAAAACAATGTATTTTGATAAGATCTACACCAAACACCTCTAAACTCAAAAGCAGATCTTTTCTCTTCTCCTTAAATTAAAAAGAAAAAAAAATCTATTTCTTTTTTTTTTTCAACAAATCATATTAACGATTTCTTTCAAAATGATAATATTTCATTAAGTGAAGAGATTTATTCCCATGTTCATGAATGGAGGAAGAACCCTATATTTTTTCTGTTTGGATCATTTTTTGGTAACATTAACAAGAATTATTTTTTCCTCTCTCCTTTGATTTACTTATCCTAACTAATTAATGTTTTATTTTTTTCTATTTAGTAGGTCAGAATTTGAACTTACAGAGGCAATTTCACGCGCTATATTGGAAAGACTTCTGCTCCCTGATTTATGATGAAATTATGAATTTCTAAGAGTTTTTTGGGCGAATAGGGAGATTTATAATAGGTCTTTGAATTTTAATGGAGTTTTTGGTGAATTTTAGGGGAGGATTATGATTTTTAAGATATTAGTTAGGGATAATGAGTCAACATTAGTTGGGATTTTACTATCTTTAAGTAAGTGTTAAAGCGACGGCAATGGGATTTTGTTCTTTAATTTAATTCCCTGAAGTTTATGTAATTATATCTGCAACATGATTGTTCGGATTGAAAATTTGCAGAAGCATCTTTAAGGAAGATTTATGATAGATATATGAATTTCTAGGAGGGCTTTCTTTTTTTTTTTGCAGGTTTTTTGATCATTTTCAAAATTTTAAGGGAGGTTTATTATAATTTTCAAAATTTAGAGAGTTTTGTAATGATTTTCAACATTTCAAAAAGTGGTTTTTGCCTATTTTTCAAAACAGTGTTAGAATGTAATTGTTATTGAAATTGCATTATTATTATTATTATTATTATTATTTTATCATTGTTTTTGTTATAAAAGTGGTGTATACCTATAATTAGCCAAACTTGAAATTTCATCATATATATAGTTCCCCTCCTTGAAGTTTATGATGTTTGACATAGAACTTGATGACAAGAATTCCCAACATTCATCTACAATAGTGACTCAATCTTCTCGTAAATCTAGGAAATTTCATATATATATATATAGTTCCTCTCCTTGAAGTTTATGATGTTTGAGATAGAAATTGATGAACAGTTTTCTGGGCAAGACAAGAATTCCCAAAATTCATCTACAACAGTCACTCCATCTCCTCGTAAATCTAGGACTGACCCTGTACCCATACCAGTTAAAAATATGGAAATTTCTCATCAGTCGACGAGGATATCAGAACCCTTTATGGTATCAACTAACCCTGCTAGTATTTTTTCTTCAGAAGGTGATGTGTTTTTTGTGTTTTCGTCTTTAATCTGTGGATAACTGTTCTAATGTTAATTTCAAGCTTGATGATAATCCTCTTTTGATTAAGAGCTGCCTCCCCCTGGTGTAAGGGAAATTGGATTTTGAATTACTATATGCATTGATTTATGGATTAAAACATAGTGATCATAAGAATTCTCACTTGTGGTACTTTTAGTTATTTTCCTAAAAATAATTTTCTGATAAAAATAAAAAGTTCAGCTTGGCGGATCTATGACTTTTGACTGGCTGAATTATTCCAATAAGCAATTACTAATGACAAAATGGCTCATTAGTTTCATTTGTGTGGTAGAGATGTTTGTAGGCCTTGCTGTTCAGAATGGATATCAATATTCTTACATTCGTAATGGTGTTTTATAACACATGGTTCCTTTTTTATGCATCATCAAATGTTCCCACCAAATTGTGTGATAGGATTCAAACTTCTTGAGAATGGAAATCTATTTTTTAAAGTGGCAATACATTTTGGAAGTTTCAACTGCGAGTTGTCATCTTTTTCCCTACTTTTTGTGATAAATTAAGTTATTTCTACTTCCAGTCAGATTTTGTGATACCTTCTTCTTTAGAACTAAAATTTGATGAGCCTCTGAACCTGCGGTATGATAAATGAGACTTTGCTGGTGGAGAAACGTGATTAACTTTGTAATTTGTACCACTGTTTGTGTCTATGTTGACAAATATTTCATTAACAAGGCTTTAGGTTTGATTCTTGTTTGTTACAGTAAAATATGTAATTCTTATGAAGCATATTTTTCTGTTTGGAGTTTTGTTGATGCTTGTACTGCTGGACTGTTATCGCAGTATGTTCTTTTATGTAGTGATAAAACTGCATTTCCTTACTTGTATTGAGTTATTATTGTTGGACTGCTGGTCCGCTTTTTCCCTTATGCTTTTTACACTAACAATACTTTGTTTATTTCTAATAAAATATATAAATTTCAACGTGATTGAATGATTTTAGATTAGCAAATTTTTAAATAAGTAAGAGTAAATTGTATGTCAAACATACTGGATTGTTACATCTGTTTGTATAAAATAGTTTCTATAATTAATTTGTATATATAATATTACTTGAAAAAAAAAAAAAAAAAAAAGGAGTTGTTACAAGCTGAAAGTGTGTTTGAACACAGGAGAGTGGTTGTTTCGTTTGTTTATAAAATATCGCCTGAATCACCACTTTTATCTTTAGGACATTTTATAGAATCAGCTTCTTTAAAAATTTGTATTATAAAAAGAATATTAATTCTTATGAGATCGTTGGCTATAAAGGAATACCACCAATACATAAAAACTAATATTTCGTGGGGTTATTATCAATTAGAAAAAACTTTTTATCAGAAACTTATAGTTATTAGGACATACACTTATATTAGGAAAGACACTGAGAGTAAACATAACGGTTTAAAACCCTTAATTTCAACTTTTTGAGGGTATTAAGGCAATTTTATGTAATATAGTTTTATAAAAAATAAGTTTTTAAACCAAAATAATTTGAAAAAAAACATATCAATAAGAAAATGACATGTGTCAAAATAAAAATAAAAATAAACGAGGACATATGAGTAGAAAATATTAAAAAAATTGATAACTAAGGAAATATTTTTTTGAAAGTATACTTCATATTTTAGTTTTAATTTTTTTTAATATGTATTACTTTATCTTTTTATTGGTATAATTATATATATTTTATATATATTTATTTTTTGTAAAACTTTCAATTATGTATATATATATTTTTATTTCTATTTTTTAAAGTTTCTTTGAAACAATAAAATCACTCACACATGGATATTTTAGTCATTTAAAATATTTCAGTTAAAGTTAACGGTTTTACATCGTTAAGTGTCCTCTCATCATTGTTTCCAATATTTGTGTCTTATAACTATAAGTTTTTTGTAAAAATAATCTTTGGTTGATAATAACCCTATTTCATAAGTATTATTGTCTTCTTAATTTGTTTTACGGTGAAGAAACTTAGGAATATTCGAGAGAATTGAAAGAAAAATAGAACAAACAATTTTCATTAACTGGATGTAAAATCTAAAAACTAAGAACTTGAGAGAGAGTCAAATACGTCTTTTGCAAGAGAGAACAAACAATAGTAAAAGTGCAAAGGGCACAGTTTTAGCTGAACCCATCAGGTCCAAAAACTTTGAAACTTAACACTTTGGTCCCTACAGAGTACAGACTACAGAGATCTCGAAAATGGAAACTGAAATTGGAAATTGTTTCGGTTGTATTCTGCTCGACATACGACATCATGTATTATAGCAATTAAGAAATCGATTTTTTAGTAAATTTCGAATCGAAAAAGTCATATTATATGTTTGTTCTAAACGTTATTCTAGGTTTTAGGAACTTACATTTTCAAACTGAAATAGTTATGCTTTGAAAATATAATTTTGCTTTGAACTAACTGTAAAAAGTTAACGAGTTTGAATATATTCAAGGACAGAGTCTTGAAATTTTTAATTAACAAACTTAATTTAATAGATTGATTTTATAAGAACATTTTTTATTTTATATATAACTGAGAAAACCTGAGATTTCTAATGTGCAATGTTTGGCACGAGACATTTATCAATAAGATTTGTCATTGTGTTAGAACTCAAGTCCAAGGGAGAGCCCAACCCAAAAGACCGGCCTGATCGGTGGAAGAACCCTTAGGCTTAAGTACACACTTGATGAGTGTGAGATCCCAATATGAGATCCTAACATTGCACCCCCCCTTCAAGAGCCGATGTCCACGGTGGCTCTTCACTTTATCGACATTGACCTAACGGTAGCCTTTTTTCTCTTTGGGTGGCTTCACTCAACTATTAGTCATTTGATGCACATTGCACTTTAATCTACCCTATAAATAGCCCTTTCCACAGCTAACTCTTAATGAAAAGCATCAATGTTAGAACTCAAGCTAAAGGAAGAGCCTAACCCAAAAGACCAGTCTGATGGGTGAGAGAACCTTTAGGCTTAAGTGCCACACTTGGTGGGTGTGAGATCCCTATGTGGGATCCTAACACATTGTAGAGAAGTTTACCGAATCATTTTGCTCTCCTTCTAAGAAACATGCAATATCTAAAAATAACCTCTTCTCCTAGTCCATCATAATTAACTTTTGATACCTTTTGAATATCTTCAAGAGGATTGTTTTCTAAGTCATTTATTACACTTTCCCAAAACTATTTTACCCTAGAAGACAAATGGCAACCCAACACTTTAAGAGCCTATGGAAGACCTTCGGTATATATATGCCACTGCTTTCTTTGGTTGCTCCTATAATCTGCAACAGGAGAGTATTGTCTAAATGCGTATTGATTAAAAAGGTGATGAGCTTTCTTCTCTCTTAATTCCTCAACCTTGTATATATAAGCACCATCTACTCCACAAATGCTCAATACATGTTTATCCCTTGTTGTTATGATAATTTGACTTTCTAGGCTCAGGTGAAGGTTTCCAATCAAATTTTATATTTGGATGAAAGACGTCACACCATCAAAAACAATGAGAACATTTAGTGCTTCAAGTCGTTCTCTTCTATAGGTGACTCCTGTATTAGGATTTGTATCATGTAATAATGTGGAAGTTTATTTCGCAAGTGAGTTAAATTAGTGTTTTTCTCTGACTCTTCCCTAATGTTTTCAGCAAAATAGGATCTTTTTTTGAAATAGCATGAGCAATAGTTGTTTTGCCTATACCTCCTATGCCTCAAATTCCTATTTTGGAAACACCATTTGATCCCTTGTGCAACAAAGACTCTATTTTGTTTATTGAAAATTCTGCTCCAACCAGGCCTTCATCATAATCACTTGGAGACAATTTATTTAGTCTTTCCAATATAGCGTGTGAAATTGCCTCTGTAATTTCAAATTCTGACCCACTAAATAAGAAAAAAAAAAAACATTAACTAGTTGGGATAAGTAAATCAAAGGAGAGAGGAAAAATAATTCTTGTTATTGTTACTAAAAAATTATCCAAACAGAAAAAATATAGGGTTCTTCCTCCATTCATGAACATGGGAATAAATTTCTTACTTAATGAAATATTATCATTTTGAAAGAAACGGTTAATTTGATTTGTTGAAAAAAAAAAAAAAATTCTTGGGGACTAAAAGGAAAGAAGATCACAAAAATCAATACAAACATTTTAAAAAACCGATCTTAAATTTTTAATTTATTAAAAAAAATATTTTAAATAAGTTACATATTGATAAGTACAAAATTATATGCAGATCAACACTTACGCCCATCTAAAGTGTCCTGATTGCTTATGCACACATAATGACAATCTCTTGGCCTAGGTTGCTTGTTATGAAAAGATGAGAAAAATATATGCCTTTTGAATTGTATTTTTTTGAATAAGGAGGCGTAGCTTTATACAAAAGTTTTCCTACAATTATGCTAGTCTATTCTAGGTAGTCTAAATATAAAAGACAACAAAACAAATGTGTCCTACAATCATGCTAATCTATTCTAGGTTAGTCTATATGAAAGACAATTAAATAAATATACATTAATCTAATATTATTTGTCAATGAATTGCATTGACCTGCTTCTTCAACACTCCCCCTCACGTTGGAGATGATGTCAAGACTCCCAACTTGCGGATATAGGTTTGAGACAGCTCCTTTCCCAATGGCTTGGTGACACATCTGCAAGTTGATTTGTTGGACATTTGGGTTCCACTGAACCCTACTTGTATTTTGTCACGAATAAATGCAATCCATCTCTATCTGTCTGAGGGTCTGGTGCGGGGGGGGAGGTGGGGGGGGGGGGGGGGGGGGGGGGGTGGTGGGGGGGGGGGGGGTGGGGGGGGGGGGGGGGTGGGGGGGGGGGGGGTGGGGGGGGGGATGTGGGGGGGGGGGGGCGGGGGGGGGGCTGGGGTGGTATGGGGGGGGGGGGGGGGGGTCTGGGGGGGGGGGGGGGGGGGGTTGAGGGGGGGGGGGGGGGGGGGGGGGAGTTGGGGTGGGGTCTGGAGGGGGGGGGTGGAGTGGGGGGGGGGGGGGGGGGGTCTGGGTCTAGGTGGTCTATGGGGGGGGTCTGGTGGGTGGGGGGGGGGGTGGGGGGGGGGGGGGATGGCTAGGGGGGGGTTCTTTCATGGAAAACGGGATTGGCAGCTATATGTAAGGCGGCTGTGTATCACAATAACAATGCTGGCTTCGGATGCAATATTCTCAAATCTTTCAATAATGAACGTAGCCAGATAATTCACAACAAGTACCTGTCATGGCTCTATATTCGGCTTCTGCTGAGGAAAGAGATACGGTTTTCTGCCTCTTTGTCCGCCAGGAAATAAGAGAAGATCCTAGAAAAAACAATAACCCGTAGTGGATCTACGAGTATTGGGCAACCAGCCTAATCGCAATCAAAAAGCTCGCAAAAATAAATCTTTTGAGAAGGGAAATAAGCCTTGCCCTGGACTGCTTTTCAAATAACGCAATACACGCAGGCAGCTTCCATGTGTGGTCTCCGTGGTGCATGCATGAATCTACTTAACACATGGACCGAATAGGTGATATCCGCCGGGTAATAGTCAAATAATTAGGCGTCCAACAGTCGCCTATACTGGACGGATCTTAAGCAATTTACCTGATCCGAAAGCTTTAGTTTTGTTCCATGGGAAAGTTCACAGGTTTAGCACCCAAAAATCCTCCATCTTTTAAAATTTCCAAAGTATATTTTCGTTGCGAGATGAAATACCTTTCTTCTACCGAAACTTCGATGCCCAAAAATTTTTCAAATCACCCAAATCCTTAATCCGAAAATGACTATGTAGAAATTGCTTGAGAGCTAGTATGGCATTGACATCATTACCCGTAATAAGAATGTCGTCAACAATATCAACAAAGCGGTAAAACTTTTGCCTTTCTGACATGTGATAATGAGTAATCTGCTTTGGATGAACAACAGTAGCTTGGATAGCTATAGAGAACTTGGCAACCATTGTCGGGAGCTTGCTTTAAGCCATATAAACCTTGGGAAGGCGACACACTAGATTCTGCCCCTGTCACCAAAGACCGGAGGTGGAGACATATAAATTTCTTCATGGAGATCGCCATGAAGAAAAGCGTTGTTGACATCAATTGGTGAAGAGACCAATTCTGGGCAGCTGCTAAAGCCAATAGACAACGGACAGTAATCATTTTAGCAGTGGGGAAAAAGTGTCATGGTAATCTATACCTTCCACTGTGTGTAACCTTGCAACCAAACGAGCTTTGAAACGCTCAATAGTACCATCCGAGTGTCGTTGATTTATAAACACCCAACGACAACCAATAGGCTTCTTACCAGAGAGAGAAAGTGAAGACCAAGTGTGATTAGCTTCTAAGCAGCCAATCAGATTGCATTGCTTCTTGCCAATGTGAATGAGAACTGCTTCTGTATAAGATGTAGACTCAATATCTGACTGACAGCAGCAATAAAAGAGCAATGTTTGGTGAGTAACGATGATAAGACAAAACGGCAAATGGGATACGCGTACCTTTTTGTGGACTTGATGACAAAGATGGAAAATGGTTGGGAGACGTTACTTGGTTGCAGACATAATCACGTAAACCATGGGAGGTGAGGCGTCTTTGAAGCGGCCTAAAATAGGTTCGGGAGGAGGACTAGCAGGTGCATTTGGCGGTGAGGGTTGTGGGGCAAGAGAAATTGGCTCCATGTGAGGGTGTTGGACTGGTGGGGAGAATCAGGTACAAAGGATCACTGGGCTGAATTTGAGGAAGTGGATGGAATGGACTCATAAGGAAAAATAGTTTCATGAAAAACAACATCACGGCTAGTGAATATTTTGTGGGTGGCAAGGTCATAAAGCTTGTAAGCTTTCTGACCGTTTGATAGCCAAGAAAAATACATCGTTTGGCTCGAGGAGCAAATTTATGGGGAACGTGAACATTGTAGCATAGCAAGGCACCCAAAAACTCGAATATGTGAATAAGAAAGTCTACCATAAAGTCGTTCAAAGGTGTTTGGCGAGAAAGAGTGTGGTGGCAAACGTTGATTATATGAACAGCAGTAGAAACACTTCTGCCACAATGTAAAGGAAGTGGGCTTGAAAACGAAAAGCTCTAGCAGACTCAAGTATATGGCGATGCTTGCGCTCTACAACCCCATTTTGTTGAGGAGTTAGACACAAAATGTTGGTAAGTGGTCCCTTTTTGTTTAAAAAATTCCCTCATAGTAGTAATTCTCCACCATTATCAACCCGAATGTTGGCTATAAGAACATGGAATTGTGTTTGGACAAATGAGAAAAAATGGGTAAGTAAATTTGTGTTTCACTTCTGTGATGCTATAAAAAAACCCATGTGAACTAGAATAATCATCCACAATAGTCAAAAAATATTTGCACCAGAAAGAGAGCAATTTTATAGGGACCCCAAATGTCCACAATGAATTAATTCAAAAGGTCTAATAGACGAAATTGAACTAACAGAGACACGAAGTTGACTTTGTTTTGCATGCACAAACATCACAAGCATTATTAGACTGAAAAGGGAAATTTAACTAATGTTTTGCCATAAAATTAATCTAGAGGAAGACAATGCCCCAATCGGCGATGCCATAAAGAGGTGAGGGTGACCTGAGAACTGGTTGAACGGAAAGAAGTGCTGCTCAGATGGAGTTTGAGTGTTTTGACTCTCTGATGCTAAAGCAACCAAGTGATAAAGTCCGTCTCGTTGTTCACCAAACCAACATCATCGTCCTCATCGTCAAGTCCTGCAAAATACACCAATGAGGAAAAAAGTTACTAAACAATTTAGATCTCTGGTAACTCGACTCACAGCATTAAATCTACCTTAAAAGATGCACACCAAGCACATTTTTAAAGTAACAGCAGAATTCAAAGGTAATTCCCAATGGATGTAATCGGAGTTTTGTCTCCACTTGGCATAGCAACTGGTGGCAAAAAGTATTCTTACTGCCGTTGACAAGCAAAGTTGGAGATGAAGTAATGTGATCTGGCACCACTGTCGATAATTAATTGATGGAGGCGTAACAATTTTTGTAACAAACCTGAGGAAGCAGCATAGCTTTAGGATTGGCAGATTGTGTTGTTCCTTACCCTGCATGATAGATAGATTTGCTGGATTTGCAAATCAGAGAGCCCTTTGTCACTGATGGCACTCCTGCATTATTGGACTTTCTTTGACATTGTTGCCTGAGATTGATGGCTATGTTTGCGCTTGAAATGAGTGTGTCCTTGATTAGACTGTTTGATGCTCCGAATGGGAAGAAAATATGGATTGGCAGTATCAGCTTGCCTCCATTCGAAGGTTGCTGTTCAGTCATGATAAGAGAAACAGCGATAAGGAAGCAAAAAAGGGAGCAGATGCAGAAAACAGTGATAAAAGAAGGCAAAAGAAAGAACAAATGCGCAGAGCTAGGGTATCGTGCCCTGCTCTGATACCATGAAAAGATAGAGAAAATATATGCCTTTTGAATGTATTTTTTTGAATAAGGAGGCTTAGCTTTATACAAAAGTTTTCCTACAATCATGCTAGTCTATTCTAGGTATTCTAAATATAAAAGACAACAAAACAAATGTGTCCTACAATCATGCTAATCTATTCTAGGTAGTCTAAGTATGAAAGGCAATTAATAATATACAATTTAAAATATATTTGTCAATGAATGCCATTGACCTTTCCTTCTCAACATGTTCCTCTTTTCCTTTGTTGTATTCTGTAATCTTTTGTGCCTTGTCTTTTCTTTAATACACAATACTTTAGCCTACTTAAGAATATGTTCATTGTATATAGAAGTATAATTTGCAATTAAATATTCATTTCATGATTTTTATTTACTAGCAGCTTGCAATTCATGAGACTTATGTTGTTATACTAGTACATAACTTGATCTAATTGTGTTCACAGGTTGCTACGGGAAGTATGTTTATTTTGTTCTTTTCACACATTCACTAGAAGGTCAAGGTAACACATTTTTCCTATTTCTTGAGTGCCTCGTGATTAAGTAACATATGAAGTTGATTTATTAGTGTAGGCTATTTTTCCTCTTTTTCCTTCAATGCATCATACTAATATGTACTAGTTCCATCCACAGCCAAATAATTAAATTAAATTCAAAAAATCTCTATTATCGTTTGAATGCATATGCCAGGTCCTCTCTAAATGGAAAACAAGGTGAAATGCTTTTATTTTCTTAAAATGTCTCATTATAGTAAAATACTTTTATTTTCCAAAATAAATTATTTTTAGTAAGAAATATTATAGCGTAAGTTTCATTTTTTTAATTTTGTTAGACATATTGCAATAGAGTGTTCATTAAGATAACTAATAATTAAAGAAAAAATGATACGCAATAAAAATATCTCAATTGAGAAATTTAATATACAGACCAAATTTTTGAGGAAGAGAAAATTTAATAGTTGAGAATTTTTCAAAATGAGATAAAGATCAAATTAGTTAAACTCTATGGTAGAACTAGGATGAAATAGTTTCCTGAATTTAGATAAATTAAATGATGGCTATTCTATTAGGATGTAATTTGTTTTTCAAAAAATTAAAAGAACTTAAATACTTTGATGATGGAGAAGTATGTAACACCTTAGACCTGCCAAGTGCGAGGCTTGAATGTTACTAACCTTAAGAATTATAATTTAAATTCTCCATAATTAAAACGTACTTATAAAACATCGACCTCCAAAAGTTGTTATTCCAAACCACTTATCCTTGAAAGAAGAGTTCAAAAGCTTCCATAATAATGTTTTTAAGTGCTCAAACCTGAACATTCTGTAGTCTAGCTAAAACCTTCAATTCAAGCCCATCAATGACAACATAATAATATAATTGTCTTATTCCAACCATTCCCCTCAATTGTAAAGCTTCACAGAAAAAACTCAGTCAATCTTGCTATGCCAGAAATCTGCAAAAATGGTGCTGACAATTGGTGAGTTGTTAACTCAATGAGTAAATCTTATTATGTTTTCAATCCAACAATGTTAAAGATTCCACACAATATTTAATCATGAACAAATTCATTAAAACCAATGACACCATTGGCAACCGATTAACATTGCTGTTGCAGAGCTTAACGCTGAATTAGACGCTATCCTGGTTCAAAGGTTCAATTTATCTATCCGTGGTAAGGGAAAGGGGCCTCTTGACAGTTTGAAAGGTACACTAAGTGTAAATAGATAGATGATTTGTTGCAAAAGGTCAGTATAAAAGGCTCTCTATCCCAAGACTCATTGTGTAGATTTACTAGTGATGAAGATTGTTACACATATGGTCATTGTTTAGATTTCCGATTCGCGACGAAGTTTCGATGAAACATATATCTGCAGAAAATTTTCCTACCTCTCATTAGTTCATGGCGTCGAAGAACTCTAAATGCAAGGCCTAATTAAGAGTGGAAATTAGTTTTTTCAGTGGTTGAATCTTCAAGAAGAGGCAGAGCTTTGTTTACTTTGCAGAGAAACATACACAAATCACAGAATTTTAGAAGAAACACCCAAAGTAATTAGATAACCATAGAAAATGTTCTGGTGGAGCTACTCATTCTCCTATGACAAATCAAACTATGAAGATATCAAGATGAGTCTGCGAAGATTCGAAATGCTGTAAAGTTCATCTGCGAACATATGTTGAATCAACGATCGAGTCTTTGTTCTTCTTACTTTCGGGTATTCTCAGAATAAACGGATTTGTGATTCATCCCTCTGCAGCTCATAGCTGTTGTCAATGTATTTTGTATTTCTTTGAAAGTTTTATGGTTTCAGCCCTTGAGAAACCACTAGTCCCTTGACTATGAACCTTAAAGTTCTTCTCTTCTGTATGCAAACTTTGAGAATAAATATAATAAAGTGTTTGTTTCTTATTTTTGCCCCATTGGAAACTATTTTCATTATTGTGTTTGACTCTGTTTGTTAATTTGCTTCAGTTTTAGGTTTTCGAGCTTGAGAAAAATGCAAATTTGGTGTTGATCTATCTATAGTTTTTTACTCTACACTTATAAATTACCAATGTGAAATTGAAAAGCTTGAATTTCTTATATGTTAAGAGCAATTTGTATCATCATATTTGCTATCAGTTACTATAATATTATCAAAGACAAAGAGTTTCTACATAAATACTGAAATTTATGGTACTTTACTATTGTTCGATAAATTATTGAACCGGTTCATTCCTTAAATTTGGAAATTAAGATTGAAATAACATGAATAGGGTTGAAAACCTCGACCGACTGTTTATTTTGTCACACACGCAAAATTATATGTCGATTTTGTGTCCTTGCTACCAGTAATGTCAAAAAATACTTCGAGGTTACCTTATTAATGTTAATTAATATAACTAAAAATCATTATGATATTAACATTGGGTGCGTTTGGTTTATTATTGGATAAGCTCGTTTGGTTTATTATTGGTAGTTTTTAGAAAATCTTTTGAAAAAAGTTAAATTGGGTGGTATTACGATGTAGAATTTTAAAAATTAACATAAACACCCCTATATTTATTTATTTACTAAACCCCTATAATAAAATATTCAAAGTTAACAAAAACACCCCCAATCCACTCATAAATACAACAGCCCGCCACCACCGCCGAGGGTGGCCGGAGTTGTTATAGACACATGACCGGCTCGATCTTGCCATATATCCTGATATTACTTTTTCGGCCAAATTCACCTTGGATCTGGCCGGAAAGGCCAGATCTGCAGCTAGATCTAGCCATTGACGGCCAGATCTGGCCGTATTTGGTCGTCAACACAGCCAAAGAATCAGCTGTCATTGATGGTCAACGATGTCATATCTTGGCCGTCGTTGACTACTGCGGCCAGATCTTTGGCCATGGATCTGGCCGTTTTCGACCGATCCAATGTGGATTTGGCCATAAAATGCTAGATCCGTGCACTATCGCTAGATACAGCCTGTAGTATGCCAACACCAGATTTCGGCCAGTTTCTGGCAGTGGTGGCCGGAATCTGGTAAATTTGGGTTACTGGGGTGTTTTTGTTAACTTTCAATTCTTTTTTGGGGTTGTTTAGTTAAATTAACAAATTTAGGGGGATTAAAGGATTAAATATTTTAGAAAACTATTCTCAAAATAAGTGAAATAAAGTCAACTTTTTTGGGAAAACTATGTGAACGAACGAAGCCTAAGATTTTAGGAATAATATTGGATAGTTGGATAGGGGAGTATTATTAGGTAAAATTTAAAAATTCCTAAAAATCCCCTAGGTTTGCTAATTTAATTAAACACCCCAATATATAAAATTTTATAAAATGACAAAACCCTCACACTACCCACAGTGCCAGATTCCAGCCACCACCGGCGGAATCTGGTCGAAAAATTGCGTTACAATACAGACCGATCGGATCTGTGTAACACTTAATATGGCTTTTTTCGACCAGATCCACTACAGACCTGCCGAAAAGGCCAATCTATGGCCAGATGTACCATCACGGCCGTAAAATCTCATCGTTGGTTATCATTTTCTGTCAATGATGGCCAAGATTGGCCGTTGTTAACCGTCAACTACGGCCATTTATTTAGTCGTCGCTGATGGCTAGATCTGCTTTTTTCGGCCAAATCTATCACTATCTAGCCGGAAAAGGCCAGTCGGTGAATTACCGACCATTTTGCGGTCGAGGTGTAAGCCGTTTGACATTCTAGCTATCACCGATAGTGGTTGTCTGAATCTAGCAAGAATGGCTGGATGGGGGTGTTTTTGTCAATTTTTAAACTTTTTTCTGGAGGTGTTTAATAAATTATAAACTTAAGGATCTAAAAGTATTAAAAAATATAATATATTTTGGAATAATGTGCTAAATAATTTTTGAGGAATAGGATTAGGAATATGGTAAAATAAAAAACCAATACACCTCTTGATATTCTAGATTCTCACTAAATGCCTCTATGAAAATTTTATTGGGCTAGGGTTGGTGCCCAGGAAAGCCCAATGGTCCTATTTCCCTAGTTGTAACCCAAATCTAACCACAACACTAAAAACGCGAGAACTAAATCACAAACTCACGCAGGATTTCTCATTTAAGGTCTGCCCGGGTTTTTTTTTATTGCTTTGCCAGATTTTTAATTAGATTGCTTGAGAGGTTTTAAAACTATTATTAGTTATATTTTTTATGCATTATTTTTTTTTGGCTCAAAAACCTTCTAGAACTAGTGTAGTATATTTTTTAAAGTTTATAAAACACCCAAATCGGATGTTTTTGTATTTTAAAATTTTATTTTACAAATATCTTATTCACTATAAAATTATCTTAATTATATCTAAAAAATTAACCATATCAATGGTTCCTCAACCTATTAAAGATAAAATAATTTTAAATAATCTTAAAAAAAATTATTAAAATCTTATTTTTATATGTTTTCTTAAAGATATAGTTACAATTTTCCAATCATTTCAGTTGTTCACAGAATAACGAAAAAAATAAGAAAATTTTATCACATTTAAAAATTATAAAATGCTATAAACAAAGTTCCTTAATGTTGGTAAAAAAACTCTAAAGGACACGGTGGGAATTAAAAAAACCGTTATTAAAAAACCATCAAAGCCAATGCAGTAGTTTACCTCAAATCAATCGTGGTGGTTTACTATCTACCTGAAACTCCCGAGCGAGACAAAATACGAATTCCCGGATTGAATCTCAATCACTTTTGGTCTGATTAAGCTTCCTTGTATTGCTTATTTCAAGTTTCAATTTTTTTAGGTTTTTTTTGAGTGATACCAAATTGTCTTTACTTATCATGACTCCTTCAATGGTATGAAGCTTTCATCTTACAATTTCAACAAATCCTCAGATGGGTCAATTTAACTGCTCTTATCTTCACTTTCGTGTGCTAATACACTCCAACTACTGATTTTGAAGCAAAAATTCAATCTTTAAGGAATAAGCTATGCCCGGATAATCTTATCCGGGTTTTGGATACCACCGTGACTTTCAACTCTGCTGTGAAGATATTCAAATGGGTATCTCTCCAAAAAGGGTTTCAACACACTGCTGACACTTATTGTAAGATAATTTTGAAGCTGGGTTTGGCTGGAAATGTTGAACAAATGGAGGGGTTTTGTCAAAATATGGTAGAAGATAAGTGCCCAAATGCAAAAGAAGCTCTTATTTCATTAGTTGAATTGTTTGTTAAACGTTGTAGGGTGAATGAGGCAATAAGGGTTCTTGTGAGTATGAATTTGGGTGGTTTTAAGCCCTCAGTTGATGTATTTAATGTAGTGTTGTGCGCCATTGTGAAGGAGAAGAGAGGTTTTGAGGATGTGGCGTTTATTCATAAGAAGATGGTGAAAGCAGGAGTTGTGTCAAATGTTGATACTTTGAACTTTTTGTTGGAGGTTTTGTTTGAAACTGGTAGGATTGAGTCTGCTTTGGATCAATTTAGGAGAATGAACAAGAAAGGGTGTAGTCGTAATAGTAGGAGTTATGAGATAGTAATAAAGGGTCTTATTTTGAGCGATCGAGTGGATGATTCGGTTATCGTTTTAGGTGAGATGTTTGATGTTGGATTTGAGCCTGAGTTGAGTTTCTATACCTGTATAATACCATTGTTTTGTTGGGAAAATAAACTAGAGGAGGGAATCCGATTGTTCAGGATGATGAGAGCTTCAAATCTTTTGCCGGAGGAGTTGACTTATAGGGAGTTGATTAGATGCATGTGTGAGAACCATAGATTAGATGATGCAAATAATCTTCTTGAAGAGATGACAGGAAATGGTATAACACCGGCTGTTGATGTGCTTGTTGATATAGTAGTAGGACTTTGTGTAATGGAAAAAATTGACGAGTCTCTGAATTTCTTGGAAGACAAATGTGGTTACATAACTTCTCCGTACAACGCTATGCTACAACTCACGGACAAATGTGGAAAGAGGGTCTAAAAGTAAAAGGTGAGGCTTCCCGGTTATTGGATCTGATGTTGGAAAAAGGTTGGGTACCAGATGCTACAACTCACGGACTGTTGGTTGGGTCTTTTGTCAGAAAAGATACAAATGGCGAAACATTTGCATATGAAGACTCCATGCAAGATAGTGTTAGCAACATACTCGCCGAGGGATTGGGAAATACATGACAAGTTCCCATGCTTGACAATGAAAGTTTCTTAATTACCCTGGTGGAAAACTCGCCTTGACGGATCTAAGCTTCTTCGGGATCTAATTTCGCAGTCTTTAATGGCATGAGAAATCAGTCTTTAATGGCATTTGATTGTATACATGCCACTGCCAGGTTAGTTGTTCTTTTCCCAGTCATCTTATAATCTGTGACATGACGCCATTGCATTGTAAATTCCAAAAGAAACTTATTTTTCGAAATCTCCATAAATGGTGCGACATCATAAGCCTTCTGGAACACTGCATTTATTTCGACTTAAGTCAATTTCTAAAAAACGATCCTATGGTCCATTACATTATTGTCTATATTTAGCCTTATGAATTTACCGCATGATTTAGGATTGTTTTTATATATTGGATAAAATGTTGAAGAAAAGTTTCAATCCCCTTCCGATGCAGAAGCTTAACATTACTCATCTTCCTTTCACAGATATCAAGCAGTACCCTAATACATGCATTCTTTTTTACACTAAATTACAGGTTTACATGTCTTACATTTCCTTCAGAAAAAAAGCTGTTAGACGTAGAGATTGTCATGTCCCTGATCCTTTGATCCCTATCACGAGAACACAGAAGTTCCGTCAGTTGAAATCTTACGACGACAGATGTTGTGAGAGCAAAACAAGAAATAGAGAAAAGTAGTAAGCTCTGAAATACCTTTAGCGGGAAGAAATTTCTGAGAAAGTTGAGTGCTAATATTATTGTTGTGTGTATGCATGCAAGCTTACCTGGAGAAGTGGTGATCAGCAGACGGGATGACATAAACTCACGGTTAACCTATTGACCATAGATATTTCAGAAATGCATTTGCCAAGATGTAATTGAATCCCTGTACACATCCCATTTAAAAATTTACTGCAAGGTAAACATGGGTGACCTACATACAGTATCTTGAACATTACAAGGATTCTTTGCAAGTGGATTTTTTGTGTCCAAGAGCCTTCCTTACTTCATCTAGCAACCAGTCACCCCCTGCTGTTGGTCGGCCTGCATAACAAGTGGGAGGAGTTACAGTCACTGCAACCTGGGAAGGATCTGCCTGTACAGGCCTGTCCAGATTGGGAACAGGATGTATTGTCTCTGAATATGTTAGTCTGTACATTCCCGTTGTGAAATATCTGGAACAATAGTCATATGCACTCCGTCCCATACAGGTAATGACGGCAATAGCATGGCAGCATGGCAAACCATGAAGCTGCCACCCTTTGCAACTACAACCCCAATGATCCATATCAACCACTTCAATAGTGTCACCACGAACTTCCCAAGTGCTCCCAGCTAACAGTATGACTTGTAGATTACGGGCTTTTAGGTTCTCCTTTTCCAGCTTTTCTTCCATGGATGGTGTTATTCGTGACATCCACAGATTGGAATCTGCTTGTCTTGTATAAAGCAACTCCATAATCTTACCCCGTATCACATTAACCACCTGTGTTATTGGTAATTCATCTGCATCAGTAAACCAGCTGTAAAACGGCTCTCCAAAGTGTGATGTCATATGGTTACATCTTGTACCCTGAAAGAATGCATTTGCCCAATTCTGGGGCTCAATCTCTATGATCCAATTGTATGCTTTCACAGAAATGCCTTTGATGCTTTCAATGCTCTTCTGGAATCCTTCTGGTCTCAGCGCATAAGCAGCAGCATAAAGATCTTTAGCCAAGAGACGCCACTCCTCACTAGAACATTCCCACCGCACGGATTTTATAAGTCCTTTAGATAAGTGGTATGGGCAATAAGCATGATATGAATCAGTAAATATCTCAGCAATAGACTCCCTTAGACCCATCTCTTTGTTTGCTACAAATGTTATATGACAAGGTATTGCTGATAGTGCAGTTTTCAATTGCAATAAAAACCAATGCCAGTTATCAACAGTTTCAAAGCATACTAGAGCAAAAGCAACAGGAAAAACTCCATCATTCCCATCTGCGGCTGTCGCAGTCAACAATTTACAATCATATCTTGACTTTAATGGTATTTTACCAAGAAAAAGGAGAGGTCGGCAACCTTGTTGAAAGCCATACAACGAGGCATGAAATGAGACAAACAGACGATGGAAACTTGAGTCTCCCTTAGTAGTGAAGGTGGCAAAACTACCCGGATAGGTCTCCATTATCTTCTCACAGAAAAAGGGTAATTGATTAAATGCCTCTTTATACGAGCCATGAAGCTGCTCCTTTGCTATTTCTCTCCCACGCCAGGCCTGAAAGTAATTAAGCTGGATTCCATATTCCTCTTTCATATAATTGACAATATCCTTGGGCTTGTAGTTGGGGAAAATTTTCAACTTCTCCTTAATAATAGTCGCCACAAAACTCCTAGTTGCCTGATGCCCCTTTGTCACAGCGGTACCTTCACATGTATGTGTTGGATTCATCTTCTTGATACATATTAGTTGACTAGTTGATAATTTTGATGCATGAATTATCCAAGGACAACCTTCGGCTTTGCATTTGACAAACACGCGGTGTCTTTCATTCTTTTTATACCTAAAAGCAAACTGATGCGCAATAGCATATTTACGCAATAGTACGCAAAACTCATGAGCACTGCTGAATCTTTGGCCAATACCTGTGATAATATTCTGCCACTGATGGGCAGCTTTCGCATGCTTCTCATCATTGGAATTAACATGTGGAAGAATGGGCGAGATTTCGGCAGGGAGCTCGATCTGTGTATCATCAACATTCACATCAATATGGTGGGTATCAACTACAACTTCAAGTGATGCACCAAGTGGGATGTCTGGATTATTAGTATCATCCACGATGTCTTCCACAACATCAAGGGGTGAATTAACTGGAGGCACTGCTTCCGAAAGAGTTCTTCTGCTTGATCTGTACACTCACAAATAACCAAAGTTAGAACAACTAATCCAAAATACGAAAACAAATTGTCAGCTTAGACATTGAGAAAACTACCTACTGGCGGGCATGTTTGAGACATCAGGCTCAACAATTTCTTCCATCATGATATAAACATCAGCAGTGTTAGAATCTCCATGAAACTTTATCATCCTCTTTAAGTCCTTGTCGTTGGAGATTGTAATAAGAGTTTTTCTGTTACCTGGGAGGAAGTACTTTAGAGACATTGTATTAACATTACAGCTAAACACTTCTGCTACTTCCATCTTGAACTCATTAAACCTCATTTAGTCATCAATATCGATGGCATGAGCATCGCCACCCTTATATGACAATGTGCCATCCTTTTCAGTCTCAAACTCACCACCCAACTGACAAATCGCTATAATTTTGTTCTCCACCATGACCTAACAAAATCAAGCAAAGAAAAAGCCAAAGTCTTACAGCTCTTTGGAGAAGTTTAAGCCACAAATTTCTGACACTATTTTTGAATTATTAATTGCAGATAAAATTCATTTCATAGCACAAAAACCCTGAACTAATGAACTTTTCATGCTCATGCGTGGAACTTAAGTCAACCAAATCCAACATTTTGCTTAAAAGTCAACTAAACTTTCTATCCTGGACAAAATTAAGGTTTCAAAGGCTAAAAATTTTAAAATCTCAAAACATATGAAGAAAAACAACACCCGGAGTATTAAATATGTTTAAGAAATGACCTCTACTTAAGAAACATTGATTCACAAGACTCAATAAAGAAGCTTGGATAAAGTTTGGCACATCTATTACTTAACAAGCATTTTCACTTCAGGGGTCCATTCTAAATATCCAAAGCTAAATATCCAGCACAGGAACACAAAACAATCCATAAATAACAAATTAACAATAAAATCTCAATAATCCCATGTTCCACAAAATTCTTCAATTCCTGTATTTTTTTTCTTGGGAACCAAACAAAACAAGAAACCCAAAGCTAAATATCCAGCACAGGAACAAAAATCGTAAGAAATAAACCACCCAAAATCATCAAATTGTGAAGAATTTCACTCTCCTGAAAGCTATTAAACTCAAAAGGGGTGTCTTGTTCTCTGCTTTGGATTTCTCACTCTAATCAGAGAAATCTTCTTCTGTTTCAACTGTTGCAAACAGGCTGCGGCCGGTGGCGACGGAGAATGAGGAAGGGTCCAATCGAAGGGAGGAGAGATGATGTATTGCAATGGAGAGAAATCAGAGATGGTATCGGTTGGAAGTGTTGAAGGTGGAGAGAGAAGAGGCGTTAAGGCTTAAGAATTGAATTAGGAAATTTACGCGTTAAGAGTTAAGACTTAAAAAGGGTGTGGCATGTAATATCCCCGTAAAAGGGCGGTGACATGTAATATAAAAGGGAGTGAACAGTAATATCCCTTTAAAAAGGTGGTGACATGTAATATAAATAACCTCTTTTAACTAGTGGTTAGAAATGACATTAAAACAATCCAAGTTGCTTTTCAAGGGGATGTTACCGCCACACCCTTTTATAGAATATAAAACAAAACTAAATCAATAGGGATTCTTCATTTTGAAGAGTGGCACATAATTTGAATAGAATCCAATTTTAAGAGGAATTGATAGCTAATTAATAATCTATTTCTTTTTTTAAATAATTAAAGTAACCAACATTTTCTATTTTGATTTTTAATTAATAAAATAACCAATTTTTTTTTAATATAAATGAATAATTAAATAACCATTCTATTTTTTATTTATTTATTATAGGACATAATTAAAAGAGTTGTTAATATTTTATTTCTTATCAATAAATATTTAAAATAACCTTCCTGTTTTATTTTGATATTTTAATCATAAATCATTAAAACAACAATTTCTTTTTTTTTTTCATTTTGATCTTAATAAATAAATAGTAAATAATAAATTCATTTTTATCTTTTATTTTCTATAAAAATATAATGAAATTCCTTCTTTATTATGATTTTTATAAATAAATAATTAAAACAATGATTCATTCCTTATTTTCATTTGCTATTTATAAGATAATTGATTTAATTACTCTTTTTTTTTTTTTATTTTGCAAATAAAATCAACTGCCTCCAACCGTAATATATTTGTAATACCCAGCTCATTGTTCCAGAACTCCATCCTTTAAGTGAATTTAATTCATTTCTAATGATGTAGTAATATATTCAAATCGTGTGGTACCTATTCTCACCTTCACTATTTGAGATGGGTAAGAGACAAAAATTTATAAATACCTAGATTATTCTCTTAAAATATCATTTCAACTATATAAGTGAATACATTTTTTTTTTTTTCTTGATATTCTTGGATATTTCCATGAGTTTTTTTTTTTTTTAAATAAAAAAAGCAAGTTACGTTAAGATTATTGTCAAATTCATGGCGCCAAATATTTTGAACTCAATGAAAATATTTGAGATTGTAGTGAATATATAAAGCTATTATCAATAAGAGTGAAATGGAACTTAATGGTTAGTCTTGCGATTTGTTGGCATCAGGAAACTTCTACTGAAATATGATGCGCGTAATGGCTTTCGTGGAGGTGAAATGTAATATGGTTTTAAAAATGGGGTGACATGTAATATAAACGGAGTGAAATGTAAATAATTAAGTGTCCACGGAAAAATGTCTTTAAAAATGGGGTGACAGTATATAAAAACAGAGTGAAATTAATATAAAAGCGTCCATGGACATGGACCCATGGCCATGGAGTGAAATGTAATAGATTAAGCATCCATGGAAAAATGTCTTTAAAAATGGGGTGACATGTAATATAAAACGGAGTGAAATGTAATATGATTTTAAAAAGGGACATGGAGCCATGGCTTATCTATAAAATGTTTAAAAACGGGGCGAAAGTAATATAAAACGGAGTGAAATGTAATAGATTTTACAATGGGCTGACATGTTATACAAAAGGGCACATAGTAAAGACAAAAGACTTCTCATAAGAAGGTTAATTCCATATTTCGCAATATGCACCATAGCCATGAATTGCAAAAAGATTTGCGCTTTCTTCTTCCACTTCTCCTCAACCTTCTCCTTATTTTATCAGCAACAACTCTCCTTCTTCAAACCAATTAGCTTTCATTGATCTATTTCACAAAGAGAAGGACAATGACGATGATAAATTTCTTGGCATCCTGGCCTTGCTCTCTCTTCCTTATCGTTCTCTTTTTTTACTCACCTCCGTCAAACTCCATATCCGTGTTCTAACATACCCACTTGTTTTCAAATTCGGCGACTTCTCAGGACCCATGGCTTGGCATTACTTGCCCACTCCTCTTCGTCCCTTACTCTTTCATTGCTTACTTAATTTGCATAGCCATTTCTCATTGGTTTCCAAAGCTGTAGAGATTTTGAAGCGATTATGGCTATGGTTTATCACGATGTTCTTCAAGTCACGCCTGCCTTTGTTAACTAGCATCAATTTGCAGCAACAGCCACCGCCGCCATTGAAAGAAGAGAAGAAGAAGATGGCGACAACGTCACCTCCCTAGTTTGCTCCAAGAGTACCAAACGACTCTTTTGAGATTGAGCTTGGGTTAGCTTGATCACGTGAAGAGTCCATATTTAAACTCTGTTTTTTAGATTTTAAGTATACGTGATTAATTTTTATTTTAAATTTTTACTAGTTTTCCTGAGAAAAATAATCTATTGATATGATTAAATTGTGTAGTTTTCTGTAACGATAAATATAATAGATTATTTTTTTTAACTGTTTGTAAACATGAGGGAACTTTGGTCATAATAATTTGGACTTACATGTCGCTTATGAAATTAATTTGACACATGATCAAAGTTTATTCTGATTTTATTTACCTCCCAATTTTTAACTCAGGAGGTTTATATGTAATTTAAGTCTTAAGAGGTAAATTTGCAGGGAAGTTATAAATTCAGGTCAACCACAGGGGCTGTTTATTTTATCCCTTTAAAAATCAATTGAGAATTGATGACATCAACAAGACTTTATATACTAAGTTTGTATTGGCTGTAAGACTTGATGTAATGCCGCGCTTTTTAATTAGTGTCATGTTAGAGGGTGTTTGCTGAGCTTATGAAAATTAGTTTATAGGCAATAAGTACTTATAAGCTAATTTTATAAGTATTTGAAATTTTAAGCAATTACGTGTTTGGTTAAAATACTTATAAGTGACTGATAAGTAGACGTGTTTGGTAAAATAAACTTATGATACATTTATTATAAATAAAAAAGGGGTACTACATTAAACAAGGGTATACTATGGAATTTTAAAATTAATAAGGATAATGTGGTAATATACTTGGTCAAACTAGATTAGAAGCAAAAAAAAAAAAAGTACCTCTCCAACAACTTTTTTTTTTTTTTTTTTTGCTTATAAGCTCAACTTATAAGCTCAAAAAGATTATAAACAAACAGATCAGCTTAATTTTAGAACTTATAAGCAAGTTTGACCAGTTTATAAGCTTAGACAAACACCCTCTTAGTATTATAATCCAGTCGAACTCCATTTTCTGAATAGTTTATGAAGATGAATAGAGGGATAAAAATCTAAGATTTTTTATTTTTTAATGAATTAAAACTCATTTTACGACATTTTATTTTTAACTTGAATTTTAATCTATTCATTTATTCTAATCATTCACTTCCGACTACAAGTCAAAAAATCATTTTATGGTCAACAACTAATTCACCGTCTAAATTTATAAATCGATATGATAAAAATTAAAATTTTAAATACAAAATTGAATTAAAACATTTCGACTCTTCAACAATATTGTTTTCGAAAACATAATAGTGATGATATCCAAAGAAACAATTATATTCTTCCTATCCAAAGAGCACATCTTTCCAAAACCAACAGATGGACAGCTTATTTTGCACCATCATTTAATTCAAAAATAGATATAAAAAGGGCCATTTTGAAGTCATATTTTATTTTAATAAGAGCAAAATACCAAGTTCAATGATCAAGTAACATAGCGACATTCCGACGATAAATATCAAGTACCCAAACAAAGCTCAACGCCTTAGCCTTAGGGGAGGACAAAACCGGGTACTCAACTCAAATGTACCCTTTTACTACCCGACTCGAATATTCGAATAGTATAAAATAGCACCCAATAACCAAGCCGGGTTATGCAATACCCGAATATGTGGGTACCTGAAATTTCGGTTCGGTTACCAGGTACCTGAATGTAAAACCCGAATTTCTGGCAATATTGCTTCCAAACAAAAATCTCTCCGCCAAAACCATCAAAAAAACAAAAACATCGTAAAGTTAGTGAATCAACTGATAAAAAAATATAGAAATAATTCTTCACAATAAAAAGAGCCAAACAAAGACAATTATCAGATACCTTTTGTGAAATAGAGAAATGGAGAAATAAATAACTGATGCAAGCGAAATAAGTGGAGACTGGACAGAACATAACTGATGCAAGCGAAATAAGTGGAGACTGGAGAGAACATAACTGATGCTAGCTAAATAGAGAAATGAAGAAGAAGATGCGAGCGAAATCAGTGGACTAGTGGAGAGAATAGAGAAATGGAGAGATTAGTGGAGAGAAAATGATAAATGAAGAAGAATATGGGAAGTTGCGACTAGAGAAATGTAGAGAAAGGGAGAAATGGAAAACGAAGAAGAAGGTTATTTGGGTTTAGGGCAAATTGATTTGGGATTTTACTTTTTACTTTATAAAAATAAAAAAATAAGGGGGGTTTTGGGTACCTGAATTATATTTTAAATTATAATCCAGTACCCGAACTGAAAAGTTGGGTACATACTTAAATACTACACGAATCTGACCCAGTTTTTCGGGTACCTGAAAAATTCGATTCGATTCGGTTTGGGTTACGGGTATTTTTGTCCACCCCTACTTACCCTAACCCTCATCGACTATTAATAACCACAACAAAATGATAAATATTATTCGTCACAGCTTCAATTTCACCTTTTACTTTTTTTTTTTTTTTCCCTCCCTCTCTCACTTGATGAGATCAAAAGGATGCTAGCATTTTTTCACAAACACTATAGAAAATATTCTACCTAGAGAGAGAAACCTAAAATCCGAAAGGTCTGTCGCCCATACAAAGAACATATACTATCCAGTTTTTGCCCCATTGGAAACTATTTTCTTCATTGTGTTAATCTGATCTCAATTTTAGGGTTTTTGAGCTTGAGAAAAATAACAAATTTGGTGTTGATCTATCATCTATAGTGTTACTTCTTGCATTGAACTTATTAAATTACCAAATGTAAAATTGAAAGGTATTCTTGTAATGTACAGAGGCAATTTTTATCATCACATTTTGCAATTAGTTAACATATAATATTATTAAAGACAAAGAGTTTCATATCGTAAATACTGGAATATTATGGTACTTTACTATTTCGTTCAATAACATTATCGAACCGGTTCAATCCTTAAATTTAGAAATTAAAGGCTGAAATAACACAAGCGGGGGGTTGATAAACCTTGACTGGCCGTTTGAGTTTGTCAACACACCGAAAATTATTACAATTAAGATAAACCTTAATCCTAATTAGACATGTCGGATTTGTGCCTTGCTAACAGTTAATGTAAAAAAATACTGTCAAGTTGCCATTAATAATGTTTGTTAATATTAACTAAAAATAATTATGATAATAACATTCTTGATATTCTTGATAACCTCACATAAATGCCTCTGTGAAAAATTTATTGGGCTAGATATGCAGCCCAGAAAAGCCCAATGGGCCTGATTCCCCAGTTTTAACCCAAATCTAACCCAAATGACAACAACTAAAATACCAAGAACTAAGTCACAAACTTACGCAGGAATTCCCATTTAGAAACAAAATACTAAATTCCCGGATTGAATCTCAAATCACTTTTAGGTCAGTGATTAAGCTTCCTTTTATTGCTTATTTCAAGTTTCAATTTTTTTAGGGTTTTGTTTTGAGTGATGTTAAATTGTCATAGCTTGTTCATGAGCTCCTTCAATGGCTATAAAGCTTTCATCGTTAACATTTTCAAACAAAATCCTCAGATGGGTCAATTTAACTGCATCTATTTCTACACTTTCGTGTGCTAATACACTCCAACTTACTGATTTTGAAGTAAAAATTCAATCTTTAAGGAATAAGCTATGCCCGGATAATCTTATCCGGGTTTTGGATACCACCGGTGACGTAAACTCTGCTGTGAAGATATTCAAATGGGTATCTCTCCAAAAAGGGTTTCAACACACTGCTGACACTTATTGTAAGATAATTTTGAAGCTGGGTTTGGCTGGAAAGGTTGAACAAATGGAGGGGTTTTGTCGAAATATGGTAAAAGATAAGTGCCCAAATGCAAAAGAAGCTCTTATTTCATTAGTTGAATTGTTTGTTAAAAATTGTAGGGTGAATGAGGCAATAAGGGTTCTTGTGAGTATGAATTTGGGTGGTTTTAAGCCCTCAGTTGATGTATTTAATGTTGTGTTGGGTGCCATTGTGAAGGAGAAGAGAGGTTTTGAGGATGTGGTATTTATTTATAAGGAGATGGTGAAAGCAGGAGTTGTGCCAAATGTTGATACTTTGAACTTTTTGTTGGAGGTTTTGTTTGAAACTGGTAGGATTGAGTCTGCTTTGGATCAATTTAGGAGAATGAACAAGAAAGGGTGTAGTCCTAATAGTAGGAGTTATGAGATAGTAATAAAGGGTCTTATTTTGAGCAATCGAGTGGATGATTCGGTTATCGTTTTAGGTGAGATGTTTGATGTTGGATTTGAGCCTGAGTTGAGTTTCTATACCTGTATAATACCATTGTTTTGTTGGGAAAATAAACTAGAGGAGGGAATCCGATTGTTCAGGATGATGAGGGCTTCAAATCTTTTGCCGGAGGAGTTGACTTATAGGGAGTTGATTAGATGCATGTGTAAGAACCATAGATTAGATGATGCAAATAATCTTCTTGAAGAGATGACAGAAATTGGTATAACACCGGCTGTTGATGTGCTTGTTGATATAGTAGTAGGACTTTGTGCAATAGAAAAATTTGATGAGTCTGTGAATTTCTTGGAAGACAAATGTGGTTACATAACTTCTCCGTACAACGCTATGCTTGAAGGTTGCTGCAATGCTGGTAAATTTTCTATGGCGAAAAGTATTTTGGACAAAATGGCTGAGAGAAACATTACTGATTGTGATTCTTGGAATATTCTAATCAGATGGCTTTGTGAGAATGTGGAGATAAGGAAAGCGAATGAACTTCTTGGTAGAATGATTACATTTTCCATGCTTCCTGGCTGTGCCACATACTCGGCTCTTGTTGTAGGCAACTCTAGATTGAGAAAGTATGAGGATGCTCTGCAGGTGTTCCGTCGAGGTTGTATCAAAAGTTGGGTTCTGGATTCTGTATCGTACTTGGAGCTAGTGGAAGGCCTTTGCCAGGCAGGAAAGATTATTGAGGCTGCTGAGGTGTTTCACTACATGTCTAAGAATGGATGTTCCCTCAATTCTTCTTCATTCAATAAGTTGATAAGCAGCATGTGTGGCATGGGGCTAGTAGATAAAGCAATTAGGCTACGGGGTTTGGCTTACAGTTCTCATACTTCTTATACTACTTTAACTTACACCAAAATCATGCTTGGATTGTCTAAATTAAAAAGGGCTAAAGGACTTATGGTAGTACTGTCACAAATGCAGGTGGATGGTTGTGCTCTTGATGTGGAAGCATATTGCATCCTCATACAAAGCATGAGCGCACAACATCGAACTAAGGATGCTGTTTTATTTTTCAATTTGATGGTTAACGAAGGTTTTGTGCCTGACAGGGAAACTATGCATACTCTATTGTGTTGTTTGGCTAATTATTCTCAGTTGGGCATGGTTTTAACAGGGATTGATAAACTTGTTTCCTATAGTGATATTCTGGATTCATCAATGTATAACGTACTAATAAATGGCCTCTGGAAAGAGGGTCTAAAAGTTGAGGCTTCCCGGTTATTGGATCTAATGTTAGAAAAAGGTTGGGTACCAGATGCTACAACTCACGGACTGTTGGTTGGGTCTTTTGTCACAAAAGATACAAATGGTGAAACATTTGCATATGAAGACTCCATGCAAGACAGTGTTAGCAACATACTGGCCGAGGGATTGGGAAATACATGACCAGTTCCCATACTTGACAATGAAGCTGTCATTAGAAAGTTTCATAATTACCCTGGTGGAAAACTCGCCTTGACGGATCTAAGCTTCTCGGGGATCTAATTTCGCAGTTTTGGTCAGAGTTGCATGAGAAAAAAAAATTAAAAGAAATTGATTGTAGACATGCCAGGTTAGTTGTTCTTTTCCCAGTCATCTTATAATCTGTGACATGATGCCACTGCATTGTAAATTCCTCAAAAGAAACATATTTTTTGAAATCTCCATAAATGGTGTGACATCTCTAGCTTTTTGAAGCACTGCATTTTTTGTTAAGTACTTGTGCTTGGCTCTTTTCTTTATTTCTTGCAATGTCAGTTTCATTTTTATTATGGTGCAATATGTTCGACATGCACTTGTGAAATCTCCTTTTACTGTAAGTCATACTTGATATCAATGAAAGTTACAGCTAGGGTATTTAATTCGACTTAAAGTCAATATCTGAAAAACGATCCTATGATCCATTACATTATTGTCTATATTTAGCCTCATGAATTTCCCGTATGATTTAGAATTGTTTTTATATATTGGATAAAATGTCGAAGAAAATTTTCAATTCCCTTCCAATGCAGAAGCTTAACATTACTCATTTTCCTTTCACAGATATCAAGCAGTACCCTAATAAGTTTGAATTGGTATCAATCTGTCTGTCAGACCCAGCTTTGGAATCGTATTTTTTGGGTGGCATGAAGGGGGCAGAAAGATTATAATCAGCGTCTGAGCCTGGAAGTCTGGAATTGCAACCAGTAGGCCATAAAATTGCTTACCATTATTAAGCAGCTGAAGTTCATACAGTGCTGTTGAATTCTGTCTGGCTACAAGTGACTAAATCAAGTGCACTGTCTACTGCCACACAAGCAGTTTTCGCCAGCATTGTTCTAGTCATTGATGGAAACATTTACTGGAATTTATCAACTTGGTTGAAGAGTGCGGAGTTGTTACAATTCTTTATGAGCTGAAATTCTCAATGACAAAATGGAAATTGAAATGATAGATTGAGGAGGCAAATTGATGTAAAGCAATAATATTATTATTAACTAATGAAAGCTGTAATTTATCTCAATTCTGACATGCAAATAAATAACTTATATGTTTGGATCATAGATTGACCCAGAAAAGGGAACTCAAAAGTCAAAAGTACTTGAAAACCAGCCATTGTATGAATTAATACATCCCAGTAACTGCTTTCGTTAGAAATCTTGATTGGATTGTAAACTGATAACCATTCAAACGTGTAAGGGAAATTCAGGGCCAAGCTGATTAATGAGGGAAAGCAGGATGATTAATTTTCAAAATCCAACTGCATGATACAGATGCACCAAGGCACTTTATTAACAAATGCAATATGCATCACCTATTCTTACAGAATTCTCAAACAATCAATCTGCTGAAAGCTAAAGAGAGATAAAGCACAAGTTTTGCTCAACCAAATTGAAACATCATGTCAAATTAAGATAATGGACAAAACATTAAACCAGGTAGCCGTTGACAATCCATGGCTGCCTTGATAATAAGGTAGCTGTTGAAATTGACAATGTAGATATTTACTCGACAGACAAATAAAACCAGAAACAAGGATTCTACATCATGAACCATCAAGTTCAAACTTAAAACGCCTGAATGCTATGTTCATATTCCACGAGACAGAATTTAACTATACATGATAGTTCCGTGCACACAGTGCCAGAAAAGCTTAGAAAAAATAGCTACGATTAGAAAAGCTTAAATTTATTTAAACTCTCAACCAAATGATGTTGTGGGCAACATTGCAGATGAAAAACACATTCTTAACAGTCTGAACACTAGGAAAAAAAGGTAAATGCATAAATACAACAGCTTCTACTTATTGGGAGACTAATAATCAACAAAGTTCTTCGACAACAGAGAGCGATCTGAGATCTTAAGACAAAAGAAAGATGACCACCTAGGCAACATGTCTACAGTGGTTGTATTTTCAACAGCTTTAAAAGAATAAGAATGTTGAATAGACATTGCACTAATGTTAATATTATATTACATGTCTGGTGAAGGAAACTTAATAGATATACAGCCCCATCTGAAAATGAGGCTATCTTAAACTTGCCATTAAGGAGAAACAGAGGCGGTAAGCAAAAGGTCCCATGCAAGAAACATGCCAAAATATGTAATTAGAAGATTATTGAGACAGTCATACGAGTACCTATGCTACAAGCTGATATGAAACAAATGGCCTTCAAATTAGAGCAATGAGTAATGAAACAAATCAACAAAGCCTTAACCTAAAGACACAAAGTAAATAAATTCTTCTTGCGAGAATCACACACACAATCTAGCAGGACTTAGATTTGCTTCAAGGCAGTACAATTTAAAAACACTTTCAAACCAAGGCACAATTTGGTGGGGTAATTGAAATAAAAAATCCAATGAGTGTTAGGCATGCACATCATACATCACAGTGCAAATAGGATCATCCCAGGATTCAAAACACAGCAGCCATTTCTTCATTCATTATCTTACATGGTAAAACAGAAAATAAGTTATTTTCTGGTAATATTGTTCCAAATTAAGTGCTCTTGTATCCGCCACAAGAAGAATTCTAGGTTCTTGGCCCAAACTTTGTTTCAATAAACAATGAATTAAATGCATCAAACACCAACACCATAAACAATAACAAACACTAATGCTAAATTCAAAACAGTGTAAAAATTGAAACAAGACATACTATTTTTCTTTTTTACTGAAAGCAGGTATCTATATCCATACTTAGTGAAATTCAGTTCAAAACTCAGGCTCTGCTGATCCCTATGAGCTTTAAGAATTATGAAACCAAAAAACTAATAGCTTTTTGTGAGGTCAACGGCCCTACTGGATTCAACCCCAAACTTAGTGGGATCAAACCAGAAGCCGGAGTGCCTGACAACATAACTAACCCCTCAATACGTCAGAGTTTCACGCAAGATTCGCAACATGTACAACTATATTCCCACTAAATAATAATAATAACAAAAAAAAAAGAGCAGAGAAAATATACAACTGTGCACACAATATGACAATACTGATTTCAACTCTATATTCTCTTCAGATGATAAGATAAACAATTGAATGTACCTATAAAGAGTCACAGAACAAGTAAAAACAATCATTACACAAAACAACTCAAACTATAAAATTCTACCTTGTAACNCTTTAAGAATTATGAAACCAAAAAACTAATAGCTTTTTGTGAGGTCAACGGCCCTACTGGATTCAACCCCAAACTTGGTGGGATCAAACCAGAAGCCGGAGTGCCTGACAACATAACTAACCCCTCAATACGTCAGAGTTTCACGCAAGATTCGCAACATGTACAACTATATTCCCACTAAATAATAATAATAACAAAAAAAAAAGAGCAGAGAAAATATACAACTGTGCACACAATACTGATTTCAACTCTATATTCTCTTCACATGATAAGATAAACAATTGAATGTACCTATAAAGAGTCACAGAACAAGTAAAAACAATCATTACACAAAACAACTCAAACTATAAAATTCTACCTTGTAGCTATCCAATTTCTAAAAATTTCTTTTCCGAACTAACAAGTTCAAGCCAAATCCCTCCATAGGACTCAATCCCGAGATCTCTTCTACAAATTGTAGCTATCGATTATTATTAACGTTGACATTATTAACCAACTCTTTAGGAGAAACAGACATAGACACGCTTTGTTGTTGCTTCTTATTAACATTAAAAATGCTAGCATTACCAGACCCAGAGTGCTGAACAGAGCCAGACCCATCAAAGTTTCTGTCTTTATAATTATTATTTGTCTTACTTATCAAAACACCCACATGCTCCAAGGCCTCTCTGGCTCTCTTCCTCGCCGCAGCCGCCTCTTTCGCCTTCTTCTCAGCCTCAATTCTTGCTACCAACACCGCCTTCCCCATCGACGCACCAGCAATTCTCGCCGCGCAGAGAAGCACGGGGCCCGACTTGGAGTCAATTACATGAACATTTTTATTATCTTCAGACGGCATGTCGTTTTTATTCGTGCTTTTTGCAGGGGGATTTTTGAAAAAATTGAAAGTTGTGGGGTCTGAACAAGGAGGGCAAAGAAAGGGGGACGAAAGTGACGAGGGCGCGGCGCAATGTGAATGGGTGAAGGAGGCGCATTTGGCGCAGGAAAGGCGTTTAGAGGGGTGGGGCGGATTGGAGTCGTAGAAAGTGAAGCAAATTGGGCAAAAAGATGAAGGGTGGAGACGAAGAACGCAGGAAGTGCAGAGCTTTCGCTGGATGCCACGTAGGCGGACGTTGTGGAGGAAAAGGCGGATGTGCGTCCCGCAGTTTCCGCACTCGCCGGAGGTGGATGTGGTGGTTGGTGGTGCCGGTTGTGGTTGGGGTGGTGGGTTCATTGAGGGGTTTGGGATCCGGGTTTGGGGTTAGGGTTAGGGTTAGGGTTTTGTTTTCGTTTTGTTTTGTTAAATGTTAATTATCAAGGATTTACAGGGAGAGATTGAGCGGGAGAAGAAAGAGTTTAGAGAGCGTGTTTGTTTGGAGTGGAACGATATCGTTTTCAAATGGGTAATGAGTGATGACAAACTGACCCGGATGTTATTTATTTATTTATTCTGAAATATTAGCTTAGAGTTTATGTTGTGGTGGTTGGCGACGGTGGTGGTTTATGATGGGTAGGTCTTTTGTTTTTTTTTTTTTTTTTTTTTTTAATTATTAGTTTTACAAAAGAGATTGAGATTATTTGACCAACAAAGCATAGAGTTGCATATATAATCAACGAAGAAGATGTGAAATGTATTGTATTAATACATTTATTGGTATTTAGATAGAGAGGAATAAGAATATCTTTGACAATATTCTCGGAGTGACAAAATGGTTTGATAAACTGTTAAAATGTATTATTTAAAAAATTCTGAATTCGAACCTTTTATCAGTTATTAATAAAACTAACCACTAAATTTTAACCATTTTAAAATTTCAAAAGATTAATCAACTATACATAAAATAACTCAAATAACCCTCCATCATAAAAAAAATAAAAATAAAAATTAGATTATTAAATTCTCTCGCGAATACAAATGCATCCAACCAATAAATGCATACTATATAGACGTGCCTTTATTAGTCGTCCTGGCAGATTTTATTAGTCTTATCGTACGTATGTACGAAAGACTACATTTAGTTTAACTACTAAAAGTTTGCAATTGCACAAGCTTCACCTAACATTCAATTTAAAATAATGAAGCTCAAGCTTGAGTTTTAGCTGGTGATATTATCGACATGGATTTGAATAGGACCACACCCCTCATGAAAATGAAATTCCCACTGGAGAATGACTAAAGGGCATACTTTTTTTTTTTTTTTTTTTTCCTTCTGAGAGCACACTCAAATTCAACAGTCCCAAAGAGAGAGAGAGAGAGAGAATCATACCGATAACCTGAGAATGACGTTGAGCAAGAATGTGACTTCAGTTAGTCAAGATAAGTGGAAAGGCATAGCTTAGATAAACTGATGAGACAAACTTTCCTAAGATTTTACTATTGTCAAGGTCATTGACTGTATCAACCTACCAAGGAATTTAAGTTAAAAAGTATGCTACTAAAAAAAAAAGATACTACTACTGCACTACATGCGTCACTAATAAGCAAAGCAGCACTTGCGTATTCTTTTTTTTTTTTTTTACACTAAATTACATGTTTACATGTCTTACATTTCCTTAGAAAAAGGGCTGTTAGACGTAGAGATTTCCATGTCCCTGGTCCTTTGATCCCTATCACCAGAACAAAGAAGTTCAGTCAGTTGAAAGCTTACGAAGACAGATGCTGTGAGAGCACAACAAGAAATAGAGAAAAGGAGAAAGCTCTAAAATATCATTGGCAGGAAGAAAATTTCCGAGAAAGTTGAGTGCTAATATTATTGTTGTGTCTAGGCATGCAAGCTATATGGAGAAGCAGTGACCAAGAGACGGGATGATGTACACTCATGGTTAATCTATTGACCATAGATATTTCAGAAATGCATTTGCCAAGAAGTAATTGAATCTCTATACACATCCTATTAAAAAAATGTACTGCAAGGTAAAAATGGATGACCTACATACAGTATCTTGAACATTACAAGGACTCTTTGCAAGTGGATTTGTTGTGTCCGAGACCCTTGCATCTACTACACTGTAGTTGCCGCTTCATTACATCAGATCCAGATTTCTTTGTTGTTGGTCGGCCTGGTGGACGACGAGTGGGAGGAGGAGTTACAGTCACTGCAACCTGGGAAGGATCTGTCTGTACAGGCCTGTCCAGATCGGGAACAGGATGTACTGTCTCTGAATATGTTAGTCTGTACATTTCTGTCGTAAAATATCTGGAACAATAGTCATATGCACTCCGTCCAATACAGGTAACGACAGCAATAGCATGGCAGCATGGCAAACCAGTCAGTTGCCACCCTTTGCAACTACAATCCCAATGATCCATATCAACCACTTCAATAGTGTCACCACGAACTTCACAAGTGCTCCCAGCTGACAGTAGCACTTGCAGATTACGGACTTTTAGGTTCTCCTTTTCCAGCTTTTCTTCCATGCATGGTGTTATTCGTGTCATCCACAGACTAGAATCTGCTCGTCTTGTATAAATCAACTCCATAATCTTACCCCGTATCACATCAACCATCTGTGTTATTGGTAATTCATGTGCATCTGACACCCAGCTGTAAAACAGCTCTCCAAAGTTTGATGTCATATGGTTATATCTTGCACCCTGAAAGAATGCATTTGCCCAGTTCTGGGGCTCACTCTGTATGATCCAATTATATGCTTCCAAAGAAATACCTTTGATGCTTTCAATGCTCCTCTGGAATCCTTCTGGTCTCGGCGCATAAGCAGCAGCATAAAGATCTTCAACCAAGAGACGCTTTACCTCATGAGAAAATTGTCCCTTCACGTCTCTTATAAGCTGTTCAGTTAAGTATTGTAGGCAATAAGCATGATATGAATCCTTAAATATCTCAGCAATAGACTCCCTTAAACCCTTCTGTTTGTCTGCTACAAATGTTATAGGACAAGGTATTGCTGATAGTGCAGTTTTCAATTGCAATAAAAACCAATGCCAGTTATCATCAGTTTCTGCATCTACAACAGCAAAAGCAACAGGAAAAACTCCATCATTCCCATCTGCAGCTGTCGCAGCCAACAATGTACCTTGATATTTTGACTTTAAAGGTATGCTATCAAGAAAAAGGAGAGGTCGGCAACCTTGTTGAAAGCCATACAACGAGGCATGAAATGAGACAAACAGACGATGGAAACTTGAGTCTTCCTTAGTAGTGAAGGTGGCAAAACTCCCGGATTGGTCTCCATTATCTTCTCACAGAAAAAGGGTAATTGATTATATGCCTCTTTGTACGAGCCCTGAAGCTGCTCCTTTGCTATTTCTTTCCCACGCCAGGCCTGAAAGTAATTAAGCTGGATTCCATATTCCTCTTTGATATCATTGACAATATCCTTGGGTTTGTAGTTGGGGAAAATTTTCAACTTCTCCTTAATAATACTAGCCACCCAACTCCTAGTTGCCTGATGCCCTGTTGTCACAGCGGCACCTTCACATGTATGTGTTGGATTCATCTTCTTGATACATATTAGTTGAGTAGTTGATAATCTTGATGCATGAATTCTCCAAGGACAACCTTCAGCTTTGCATTTGACAGTCACACGATGACTATCATTCTTTTTATACCTAAAAGCAAACTGATGTGCAATGGCATATTTACGCAACAGTTCGCGAAACTCATGAACACTGCTGAATCTTTGGCCAACACCTGTGATAGTATTCTGCCACTGATGGGCAGCTTTCGCATGCTTCTCATCATTGGAATTAACAAGAGCAAGAATGGGCGAGATTTCGGCTGGGAGCTCGATCTGTGTATCATCAAGATTAACATCAATATGGTGGGTATCAACTACAACATCAAGTGATGCATCAAGTGGGATGACAGAATTATTAGTATCATCCACCATGTCTTCCACAACATCAAGGGGTGCATCAACTGGAGGCACTGCTTCCGAAAGAGTTGTTCTGCTTGATCTGTACACTCAAGAATAACCAAAGTTAGAACAACTAATCCAAAATACGAAACAAACTGTCAGCTTAGACATTGAGAAAACTACCTACTGGCAGGCATGTTTGAGACATCAGGCTCAACAATTTCTTCCATGATAATATAAACATCAGCAGTGACAGAATCTCCATGAAACTTTATCATCCTCTTTAAGTCCTTGTCATTGGAGATTGTAATAAGAGTTTTTCTGTTACCTGGGAGGAAGTACTTCAGAGACATTGTATTAACATTACAGCTAAACACTTCTGCTACTTCCATCTTGAACTCATTAAACCTCATTTGGTCATCAATATCGATGGCATGAGCATCGCCACCCTTATATGACAATGTGCCATCCTTTTCAGTCTCAAACTCACCACCCAACTGACAAATTGCTATAATTTTGTTCTCCGCCATGACCTAACAAAGTCAAGCAAAGAAAAAGCCAAATTCTTTCAACTCTTTGGAGATGTTAAAGCTACTAATTTCTGACACTATTTTTGAACTATTAATTGCAGATAAAATTCATTTCATATCACAAAAACCCTGAACTAATGAACTTTTCGGCTCATGAGTGGAACTTAAATCAACCAAATCCAACATTTTGCTTAAAAGTCAACTAAACTTTCTATCTTGGACAAAATTAAGGTTTCAAAGGCTCAAAATTGTAAATCTCATAACATATGAACCGACAAAAAAAAAAACCCTTTTGTCATATAAGGATCAGTTACAACATGAAAAGAAAATCAAAACTTGCCATCTTTGGATTACAAAATACCCAGAAACACAAAACATAAAATTTACTCAATTATGCCTATTGCTACAGTCATTGACACATGAAATGACCTAACTTTCATAAACCTAACCAAAAACAAAGGGGGAAAATCAAAACTTTCGTACCCTCTTTCACGCTTTTCATTCAATTTTCTCAGCAGCCAAACAATGAAAAACAATTAAACGAAACCCCAAAACAGTTCAAAAAAAACGAAAAATTAGTCATGACATGCGAAACCCAGAAAATTTTCCTCACAAGATGCAATTAATCAATTAACAATCCAAATTTCATCCACTCCAAAGCTCAAATTAAGCCAAAAATACAAAAACCCTAAAATCAAATTAAAATGAAAATCCTAGGAAAAAAAAAATTCGGGTCCGTACTCTGTACCTTTCATAAACTTGAAGGAGAGACGTTTCACAAGTTTCAATCTTTGCGCTCTCACCATTCACCAAATCACAAAAACTTAAACCAACAAGAACAAAAGGCACAAAAACACAGAGAGAAATATGCTTTATTTTAATTTTAATCTAATTTTTTTTGGGGGGGTAAAATTGGGTTAAATTTTTTACTATTAATGTAAAATATGACTAGGTTTTGATTCAATATTATGCCACGTCAGCTTGATTAGGGTTTATATTTTATTATTTTTGGTGGATTTTGTTGCCAAGTCAGATTGAAGTGGATGGATAGGGACCCATTTTGGTTATGGGTTCACTTTCTCAAGTTAATTATAGATTTAATCATTCAATTAAGAAAATAATTCCAATTTAATTATTTGTTTTCTTTCTTTAATTAAAGTGGTAGCTTTCATTTTGTCAATCTTCCTATATTTAAAATAGAAATTGAGAATTTTTTTTCTTAATAAGGGAGAAATTTATAAAAAATTAGGTCAATTTGATGTGACAATTATCTAACGTTAGTGGATCCTATATTATACTATTACCTTATTAGTAATAGTACTTTTGAAATTGATTTATAAAATTTAATAGAAGAATATCTTGATTATAGTAATTTTGTCAATTAAAATACTAAACTTGATAATTTTGATTAAACATGTTGGATTAAATTAATTTGACAAAAATTAGACCTATTTATCAAATATGTTGGTGTCATTAGCTTATTTATGAGGAAAAAAACATATTAATTAATGATAATAAAAAATAATTTTTTACTTGTCTTCACATATAATCAATTTATTATTTTATTATTTTAAGTAATAATTATCCATATGCATCTCCGATCAGAATCATTGATCTATATTTGAATATAGTTAAATGTTATTACAATACTATCCACCTCACAAACACCTCACATTAACACTTCTTACTAATCACATGTGACAGCTTGTAATTAGTTTGATCAGACGAGATCTGTTATTGGATAGACGAAACTCATGTGAACTGATCAATTATGAGCTGACACAACATATTTACGAAAGAAAGTTAGTAAGAAATGTTTATAACTGTAGTATTATTCATGTTATTAAGGTAACATTACTCTGAGGGGCGTTTGGTTCAAAGAATATTAGATTACTGGGAATGTTGGATTATTAGAAAGTTATATTATCTTGAAAATTATTAAGAATCTTTAAGAAAATGTGTTTGGTTAATTGATAGGTATGTTTTATTAATATGTTTGATTGGGAAGAATAAATTAGTGGATATGTTATTTAAATTACTGAATTATCCTCTAATTAAATATTATTATTATATTATTTTTTAATATTGATTATTATAACCCCCTGCATTTAAAAACTTAATAAAAACAATCCCGTAATAAAAGTTTGAAAAATCAACAAAGCACCGCCACCAACCCAGCCACTTCAGGCCACTGGCAACCACCGCAAGCCGCCACCAACCTAAAAGCACACGAAAGGCAGGAAATGACCTCCGTGCACCATATGGCCATTTTTTTGCCAAAGATCTGGCCGAAAATGGCTAGACGTGATAGGTCTGACAGTCAATGACCAAATCCATGGTCGTTGACGACTAGATTGACGGCCAGATCTGACACGATTGAGCCATTTCCGGCTAAATATCTGGTTGGAAATGGCCATATTAGCTCACGGTAACCATTTTCGGCCTTTCGTGGGCCATTCCGACAATAGTGGTGATTAGCTGCAGTAGTGGTTGCCGACGACAGACGGTGGTGGGTGACGGCTTGGGTGGGTTGCAATTTGTTTTGAATTTAAGGGTAATTTTCTCAAAAAGGTTAATTAATTTGGGTGAAATAGTAAAAACTATATTCATGTAAATAAATTAAAAAATAAGGGTATTATTGTCCTAAAATTTTATTGATAAGGGATAAAATTATAATAAAAAAAGATAACCCTAATAATATTAAAATACCTAAGAAACTGAAGGTAATCATATTACCTCTAATATTACCAATAATAACCACTATTGATACTTGAAGATTATCGGTATCTTCTATTATTTGACAACCAAACATAATAATCAAGTAATATAAGATTATTTAACCTTAATAATCTCATATAACCCCCAACCAAATGCCCTGATAATATAGGACAACTCTCCATCTATTCCATCATTAAAGTATTCCACATCATTAATTCTCTTTTTAACTATTCATCGATTCTTTAATATTTAGAATGATTCAATGATTGGTACGATCATCGACTCTTTAACCAATAGAGTGATCTAATATTAATACTACCCTCCTTTTCACACGTGTCTTATTTCACTGTTATATAATGATTCTCGTGTAACAAGACACGTGTCAAAAAAAAGACCAACGACTATTGCACTTGCATCCGACGCTAACACCCCCCTCTTAATTTATCCATTTTCAAGCAGTAATTTCTCAATTGTTTCATTCAAACCACCATTATTGGCTTTAGAAATGGATTTACATGTAATAATTGAATATTTATCCTATTTTAAAGTGGAAGCTTTTTTTTCGTAAACAAAAAGAAAAGAATTTTAATGTCAAAAACCTCGTTACCCTTATAATGAAACAAAATAATCATAAAAAAAACAGAATTTACAAACAATTATTCCTGAATTCAAGTCCCTTCTCGGTTGCTAATTTAAGTGGTTACTATCTCTCCTTGATTATTAATAAGGATAACCACTGGAGCTCTTATCCGACCAGTAGTTCTAGGATCCCGAAAGATTAGTTGAGGTACGTATATACGGACCCGGCCAACCCGATCATTAAAAAAAAAAAAAAAATTATTCCAGATAAAATATTCACAAAATGGACAAGAAGAAGCAAACTCATTTCATGTCTCACTGTCTTTAGACTACAGAAGGTTGAAGAAAGCATAAAATGTTTTGTTTTTATTGGCCAGATTACGACTACCTTTTTTTTGTTCATGGCCTTGCCATGGCTGCTGAAGGCAACTAAAGAGTTTAGTACATTTACAAGTACAGCTCTCATGGATTCCGGTCCACAAGTTTACTTCTTCAAGTCAACAAAGAAAAGCTAACTGCTTCTGCATTAGTTACATACATTTATTTGCAGTTTGTTTATTAGCTCGAGAGTTTCATGGTACCGAAACCATGAAACTGGCCACGGTGCTCAGCACACAGCGAGAAATTATACTGATTCATCGGAAGACTGCGATTGCAGACTTCATTAGGCTACAAAAGAAAAGAAAGACTGTAGGTAAGAAGCAACTTAAGTAGCAAATAAGTTAGATTCATAACTACTGCCAAATTTCATCCCAATAATGAATTTACGGTCACGGTCGATTACAGAGGTGGTCAAACTCATTCAGTCCTAGGAAAAATAACTTAGCTTCATTTCAGTCTCTCATCTTTCAAAGATGGTGATGCACTTTGCCACTATTATATTTAATAAAAATGTCATTATACTTCAAACTGGAGGCAGAAATTGTAATCATGTTAAGGGCAAAAATAGTTGCCTCATCACAGACAGCAGAGTATACCAGAAATTCTTATAAGATATTTTTTGCACATTATACGTCTCCACTTGTGCAGAACTCAAGATAAGATATTCACTTTTAAAATTATAGATTAGACTAACAAGCCATAAATCCTCTTACTACGATAAATTTGAGTAAAGATGGTCCTCAATCATTGAGAAAAAGGTATGGCACAAATGGAGGATCTAGGCTTAGAAAGAGCTTATAAACAACTCTAAAGATAACCTGCAACAAACATTTGATTTTGTGAATAAGCTGCCTAAGAAGAAATGGGCAATTGGAGAAAGCAACTGATTTATGGTTATCCTACCTGTTGTCTCCCTTACTTGGACCTTCCTCTAAGAGGTTGTTGGGTAACAAGTGCATAATGCCCATTGGAACTTACGTGTAAGATATCATCAACTTCATGAATTAATTTCATGATATAAGGATTTTCTATTCTAACAAGAGTGCAATACAAGCAATGACACCATTCGAATCCTTATCTACTGCCTCAAATGCTATCATTATATTAAGAAGAAACACTCCACATAACTTTTCAGGGTAAACACTCAACATAATAACAAAATTGGAAAACTCACGTAATAGTAGGAAACAAAGTAAAATCTGGAAGTTCACACAATTTACAATTACCCAACAAGATGAAAAGTAGACTTAAATCCCTTGCTTTTCAAGGGACATTAATAGTTATAAGACTCTTAAAATCTATTCCTGTTGTTAATACCTATAAGAGTTATTCCTCTTGTGCAATTCAGCAGAGTACCAACAATAACAAGCCTATCAGAAATGTATCATTTCACATTTACCAAATAAGTTAGGGTCACAGAGAAGGCAAAACAAATCATATATTTGCTCAGCGACACTTTAGGTGTACTACTTATAGCAAATAATGCCAATTATCTAAGGTGCTTTAACTAAGAAAAGCTGACATTAACAGGCCATTCACCTAGCCCGTCCTTCACTTCAGAACTTCAAAATGTTACAAGATAAGATCCATGACCCCACACACCATATTTGATAAAATGACACCGTATGACTTCTTACTGTCCAAATGAAAAATAGAGCCAGTTTTTGGTGTTGCAAAGACAGAAGGCATAATTTTAGGTTACTGCTTCAGAGCAGCAAATTTCTATGAGAAATCAATCACAACGAATCAACAACCATATGGTGCCACACTCATGTAAATAGCTGACAAACCATCCCGATAATTGAATATAAGCATACCTCTTTAACTACGAGAAAAGCGCACAAGTGAACCCTTCATTGACCAGTTCGTTAATTGCATCTCTAAACTTGTAATAATCATCTGGTTTGTTGTAAACTTGATGAGAAATTCTTGCATACCCTGTAATCGTATCAACCTCCCCATCTCTTGGCGGCCGATAATAAATAGGTACTTCCACAGAAAACTTATCCCTCAAGCGAGTTCTTAACTTTTGGGTATCAGACTCACATGAAATCCCCAAACAAGCAGGCAACCCAACCATGATCATGCTCGCACACATCTCTGGAGGAGACCCAAGATGCGTTCCCCATGCATTTGCCAACATCTCCCCCATCGCAACAACAACTTCATGATTCCTCTTCTTGATTCCCTCAATTCCCCCCTCAAACCTATTAACAAACTCCAAAACTTGAGGAACCACCAATTGGGCACTATAATCCCTGGTCCCAATCCAAGCACTCTCTATAGCCAACCCATTTCCATACTCATGAGACACCACAGGATGATGCAAATCATTACACTCATTAGCCTTTCTACAATACAAAAACGCAACCGAAGGCGGGCAAAAGAACCACTTATACAAATTACTAGTATAAAAGTCAGCTCCAATTTCCTTCATATCAACATCAATACAACCGATACCATGAGCTGCATCCACAAACACTTGATCCACACCCTCTTCCCTACAAATCTTAACCAATTCTTTTACAGGAATCACAACACTAGGCATAGAAGTCACATGATCAATCACAGCTAATCTAACTCTTTTCCCACTATTTTTCCCTCTCGCTAAAGCCTTCCTAAACTCACTAACAACTTCATCAACAGAGCTAACAGGAAAAGGCAATTGAACTTCAATAACAAACCCACCTACACGAGTCACATAAGCCTCCACAGACTTCTTCACAGCGCCATAAGCATAGTGAAGCATCACACAAGCATCCCCTTTCTCAAACCTCCCCTGAGAAAACCCCCAAGAAACACTCTGCAAAACGATAGCCGCCGCAGTTGTAGCATTATCAACAATGGAGATTTCATCAACATGGTCAGCATTAACCAGGTCTTTAATCACAAGTCTAGACTGTAAAATTCCAGTCTTCAACTTGTTGAAGTAAAACTCATCCGGCTGAGAAAGGTAGTCAAGCTGCCACCTTTTCTGTGCAGAGATGATGCTCTTGGGGCAACATCCAAAGCTGCCGTTGTTGATGCGGGCTACGGAGGGGGAGTGGTGGGAGAATTCAGATTGGATTTCAGTGGGGGAAATGAAAGAATCAGAAAGCTTAGGCCTCTTGGGGAAGTGGGTAATGGAGTTATGGTCAATTCCATTCATGGTGGACTAGTAGTGAGGATTAGGCATGGGAAAAGTATGAGATTTTTTCAGGTTTTGGTGGAGGAGGAGATCATGGAGATGGAGAGAGGAGAAACAGAGAGAGAAAAGGAAGAAGGAAAGTTTCAACAAAGCGTGAGAGATGGTGTGGTTTGATGACATATGGCTAATTTAATTAGTGCTTCTTAATTGTGTTTTATTACCAAAATGTGAAGATAATTAACCTTATTTTAATAAATTTAAATTATTTGTCTTTTGTGAAATTGGCTAGTTTGTGACAATTATGTCTTTTTCTAATAAATTTTTGATTTTGATGTTTAAAAAATTTATTAATTTGGACAAGTGAAATGACTGTTTTATCTATGTGGATAGTATTTTTATTTTTGAAACAAGAGTTAATGATTAATCTCTTGAGATAAATAACAAAAATTCTAAAATAATAAAAATCTTCTTCCATTAAGTTTTAAGCGTTTAAATAAATAATAGGAAAACAATTTGATAATACCAACTTATAACCGTCCTATTTTTACATAATTTACTGGGATTTTTATTTTATTAATACCTAAGGTGATTTATGTCTTTTTAACTCTTGAAATAATAAAAATAAAACCATCACTAACAATTTTGGAGTTAAAAATAGAAAAAGTTACTAAATCCTATTCACTATGTTTGAATATAAGTTTTAAATGGTGAGTGTGTTTTTTTAAAATGAATTTTGGAAAGGTTAAAGAGGTCATTTGATGACTTTTTGAGATGTCAAAGGATGATTGACTGAAAAAGAAATGGGATAATTGTCATTTCCTAAAAGAATAAGGATAATAATTGACAACTCTCCAACTATTGTTGAATTTTATATGGATTTTAATTTAATGACTTTAAATAATTTTTAGGATCCTTAAAAAGTTAAATTTCTTGATTGGACTCCATTAGGTGGTTAAATGTCAATAATACCCTTGAAACTTTGTAGTTTTGTTTTATTATTTGCCTTTTAATATGATACAAGTATTGTGGAAGGCCAACTTAAAAGTTGGAAAGTTTTGTCATTTACATTAGCTTATAGTATTTCTTCTTAGTGTATGCATCTTTATTGTTCACAACTTTCCGTCCAAGTCAACCTAAAAGTTTTCATATTTCTTTATTGTAATATTTTATTAGGGTTTATTCCTTTGGTATCATTGGGTTATCCACTATTAAGAATATAATTCCTCTTGTTGTAGAAATAATACACTAACCTTCTTTACCATTTGTTTTTGGGAAATTTTAAGTAAACCCCTACACATTTGAGGAATTAAAAGCACCCCCTAGTTCTGGAAATGAGACCCTACCCCCCATTCTGTCAAGTTTCGTTAATGAGAATCTGTTAAGAGTGCAAGGACGAATTTATCCTTTGACAAAATAACAAAACATATCCTAATTGCCTAACTACCTTCTCTGTCATCCCTTAATTGTGCAACAACCACCATCTGTTGTTGGTGTTGCCACCTCTAACAACCTTGTGGTATAGCTAGATGTCTCTACAACACCGCAATAACCACTAAAGGCTTTGACTACCTCGGATTTATCGCTTAAGGCTACCAAAGGTCTTGCGACTATTGCGAAAGGATTGAAAGCCTTAATAACAACAATGATACAGGTGAAAAAAAGACCTCAGGACAATTGATAAGGTCATATTTGCCCTTGAAGGCTGCGTAGAGCTCGAATTTAGCCTCTATTGTTGTCGATAGGCTAGATCTAGCCTTGTCACCGATGAGACCAAATTCGGCCTCTCGACATTGGTAGAGGCTAGATTTGCCCCTATCGACGCTTTTAGAGGCCATATTGAGTCTTTAAGCAGCCATTAGAAGTCTAATTTGGTTTCATGGCAATCTATTGAGGTGTTTACTGGTGAGAAAGAGAGGAATAAAATGGTAGAAGCAGGAGAAAAGACGGAGAAGAAAAAAGATGCCAGGGCAGAAGAAAAATTCAGCTAGGGTTCTCCTAGGTGAAAGTTAGAAATGCCCTTCCTTATAAATTAAAATTACAACTTTACTTGTATGTCAGTTAACATTAATGGCAAAGTTAACAAAATGGGGGCTAGGGTCCAATTTCTCAAATTAGTGGGCTTCGAATTCCTCAAATCTATGGGGGTTTACTAAAAAAATCCCTTACTTTCGGCAGTCAATTTAAAATGTCAACTATGTCGACTTATGCAATTATCAAATTCACCTAAAATTTTTTAGAATTTTGTCTTTAAAATTTTAATGAATTTACTATAATTTCTGATATTTGGGTATTTTTTAAATTTCTTTTTGAAAATTTCACTTATATTATGAATTTCTAAGAAATTTATGTTTAAGAGTGATATGATCTTTTAAAGGTCAAAATCAGTCAAAAAAGTTAATTTTAATAGAAAAAACTAGGGATATATGAGATAACTAAATAATTTCCATACCAAGAATAAGCCCTACTTTCTTTAAAATTCAATTTTATAATTAAGTGAAAGGTTAGGTTGCATAGGAATAAATTAATTCACATGAAATTATAATAAGTAGTTGGATAATGATGTGTTAACTTGCCATTATCTTTATAACATTTTGTTATGTTATAGTATCAGATCGGTTAATAAATTATTGCAATTGGGTTCATTTTTAATTGGATTTCTACCGACAATTCTCTCCATTTGTGAATAGGGTTAATAACATTGACACCCCCTAAGGTTTCGATATTTTCAGGAGTATAGATAAGAGCATTAGGTCAACACTTACACCCCAACGATGTTAGGCAAACTTAACTGGAAGAGGTTAGTTCAGTAATAGCACTTGAAAGCAATGAAGAAATAGAAGAAACGAGTTAAAAAGTTAAAAACTCACTCAAGACTCATATATAAAAAAAAGTCAGCTTTTTATCTTTAAAAAAATTAAATTAAAAAGATTATTTCCTTTATATTTACAGATTAAAACCACCGTCATTTCAACCCAAAGCCAAAAAAATCATATATCTTTACTATCTTTTATCTTTCAAGAAACAAAGGCGTGAAGCGAACGGAAAACACCGGGGTGGTGTTTACCATAGGTACTTCGACGCTCAAGTCAGCAAGGCTGAAAGAGGCTAGTATAGTGAGGGCTAGGGAGTAGAGATGTTACCAGAAGTTTAGTCGGGGACTGTGACTATGGCAGTGATGTGAGTCTCTTAAGTCAGAGCTTCGGGTGTGAAGGTGTAATGTAATGTCCCTTGTGAGAGGGCTGACCTCTGCTTATATAATGATTGTCTGGTCTCCTAGTCTTGGTGGGAGTAGGAGTCCTAGTGTGACTCTGATACGAACTCTAGAGGAATTAGGATGGTGGTGAGCCGTCTTACCAGTGTTCGAATAGGAAGGTGATCTCGAACAGGAAAGTAACTTCGAGTAGGAAAGTGATCTGAACAGGAAGGTGACCTCGAATAGGAGATTGATCAGGAATAAGAAAGTGATCTGCGGGGGCCATGGGCTCTGAACTCATGTATAGGTCCAAGAAGTGAGCTGGGATTGGGAGGCTCGCGCCCAGATGGTTTGGGCCGGCTGTACCTCGTATCAATGGGTCTAATCCGGATCGGATCGCATCGAGATTAGGCCTAGTCTCTTCCATATTGTCAGACCCATTTTCTTATTTGTGCCAAGGACGATTTTTGGCCCTAATAGTTTAATTTGTTGATTTAGATTGAATTATGTTTGACTTATCTGGCTTTTCTAACTTGTAAAAGGGTCTAGAAATTTGCCCAAAAAATTTTCAGAAATAAAAGAAGGCTAAAGGCTTTGGTTGTACTAACTGGTTTTATAAGTTTTAGTATTGATACAGTGGAAAGGTCAATCAAATAATCATTATTTTATTTATTTATTTATAAAGAATAATTTAATTAATAAGGAGATAATAAATTACTTTTTTTTTTCTTTGTTTTCATAAGTACTTAAGTTAGAAAGTAAAATTGTGAACTAAATAGAATAACAAGGGCAAAATAGCCTTTACATAATAAAATACACTGCTTTGTTAATTATGCCCTAAGCCCTTAACTTCATTCATAGTTTGGGGTGTAAGTGTTGACCTAATGTTCTTCTTAATCCGTTTGTGGAGCTTTGAAACCTGAGGGGGTGTTGATGTTATTAATCCTTTGTGAATAAGACAGAAATCATTGAGAACCGAAGAGGGACTTTATATTAAAATAATAAAATAAGACAAAAATTAATGGAATCTGAACGAGATTGAGTGATGGCTCTTTCTAATCCACTCATGAGAATTCTAAATTCAGAAATTTGTTATGTGCTTATTGGTGATTTTAAGCCTCATTTTTTTTTTAATTTTTTTGTTTTAAATTCCATTATTTTCGTCCTTTAAAGTAATAAAAGATTAGTTGATTATAACTAACTTAGCTTTTAAAATTAAAATAAAAAAACAAAAATACCCCTTCATTAAAGTTAGTTATTAAAATTTTGTTATATGTCAATATAATAATGCATTTTTTTTAAATGTGCGGTTAAATTATATTTATATATAACCAGAATTGCACATTATAATTACAAATTGAAATAAAAAAAGCACATTACACATTTTAAAATCAAAATCAATTAAACATATTATAGGTTACAAATGTTTATGAGGAGCCAACTGACCATATTTTGTTTTTGTTAGGTACAGCTCCCTAACAAATGGTAAAACATGAATAAAGTAATAGGTGATAATTTTAATAAATAAATAAAAATCAAAGTTATATTATATATTATAATTTATTGTTTTTTTTTTTTTTTGAAATAATTAGTTTGATAGAGAAAATTGTACTAATAAATAGAGCGAAAGGTGGCAACTTTGGAATTAATGTTAGAGAGGGTAACCAAAGTAATTTAACATTAATTATAGGAAAATTAAATAAATGAGATTGTAAATAATTTCATATACATGTGAAAAAAACATGTGACTGAGGTCAAATTTGGAAATATAAATACAAATACAATCTAAATATCAAAATAGAAGATTATGCATATTTATGAGGTCCGTCCATGCGTGATGGTGAATAAACCCTTCACTCTCCAGCTTTTAATAATGCCAGTTTATATACTTCACCGTGTATATATTAATTGAACCAATAAAAAACGTTTTTTAATCCCCTTAAAATGATTATAATTAGTGTTGTGAAACCCGGCCCG